AACCTTAAATAAACCTTTTTAAATACCTTCACTAGGCACTCTAATGCAATTTATCAAAGAAACAATACTTGATCAACAGTTGAGGTGATTTTGATACTTTTGAGAAACCGGTGACTGTTTCGCCGACAAAGTCGTAGATTGTAAACATACGATTTACAAACACAGTAAGAAATGTTACTTTTGAGGTCCAAAATAAATAGTGTTATTTCCATGAAAACATTTTACATCATCAGATACTTTTAATTTTAGGGGGAAAAAGAAGCAAACAGTCATTGAACACCATATAAACTTTTGGAAGTCCATGTGAATTGTATACCACTACATGACCTATTGTCTTTAAATTCATGTCAAAGGGTCTATGATAATTGCCTTTTTCATCCCATTATATTGATCAACGTTTTACAGCAGTTTTTGTCTACATCTAAAGCCATCGATTTTATATTTTGCATATTTTTTTTGTTTCACTTCGAACAGTTTCCCTTAGATATGTGAATCATTTTTAAAAAAATAAATTATCCACGAAATGATATATTTTCCTGATTTCATATTGAAGCACTAGTGAATCAATTGAATACTCCTCAATCATTCTGATAGGAAAGTCCACTACGTCCTTTCAAATTTATCTCCACTTTAATCCCGGCAGCAAATTATTTTTTAACACTAAACACTGGTATCTTGCAGAGGAACTTTATAACCCATAAAATTCTTAGTACCTCTGTCACAGTATGGAATATAAACAGAATAAAGGTAACTCCATATACCAAAAAGATTAATAAAATGTATTAATTATTTTTTATTAGCTTGGTAAGAATATATATTTTTGGTGTGGAAAAAGTCAATATTCTGTCCTTGTAATTGAACTTCTTACAAATGAAGATTGTAATTTGTTATGAACTTAGGATTCATCACTGTTCGTTACTAGTATCTCCAACCTTCACAAGTATATTTATGTACAAAATCGTAACGACAGGCGTAATAAGTTTTTAAATCCTCAAACAATTTTTTGTCAAACATGTAAGAAATAAAACCAACGTCTTTAAAACTACTTGTACTGAGATTGCATGTTAAACATGCAAGCAATAAAACATTATCTAAAAACATCTTGGATACTGAGAGTGCTTGTCAAATAGATGGGCCATAAAACTTTGTCTTCATAATATTCTTGTAACTTAGTTTTCATTAGCAACCTTAAATGCACCTTTTCTGTTAAATACCTTCACAAGACGAACTATAAATTCTAATGCATTTATCAGGCAATACTTGATCAGTTTAGTTGGGTAGTTCTGATACTTCTCCTGAGAGACAGGCGACCGTTTCACTAAATCCTAGATCAGGAAGAAACGATTTGCAAACGCAGTAAGAAATGCTACTTTTGAAGTCCTTAAGAAATACTTTTACTTCCATACGATATTTCAGTTCATCAGATACTTTAAATTTTAAAAGAAGCTAAAAGTAATTGATCGTCATATAAACTTCTGCAAGTCTATGCGAACTATATATCAACACAAGACCCATTGCCTTCATAGATATGACAAAGGGTCTAATAAATTCTCATTCCATTATAAAAAAAAAATTATAGGTCCACGTTTTTCAACAGTTTATATCTAAAGCTATCAATTTTATATTTTGCATATCTTTTTATATTTTGAGTAGTTTCTCTTAGATATGTGAATCATTTTTATGAATATTTATCCACAAAATGTGATATTTTGTTCATGTTTTCATATTGAAGTAGTAGTATCAGTTGAATACTCTCTAATCTTTCTGATAAAAAAAGTCCAATACATCCTTTCAAATTTATCTCCACCTCAATCCTACCATCAAATTATTTCTTAACAATATAAATGGCATATTGCAGAGGAACTTCATGTCGCATGAAATTCTTATTATCTCAACTTTGTCACAGAATGCAAATATAAACAGAATAGAGGTGCCACCATATACAAAGAAGATCGATAAGTTATATCGATTATCTTTATGAGATTGGCCAGATTATAGATTTTTTGTTTTAAAAAATCAAAATTTCTTTATTGTACATTGAACTTGTTACAAATAGATTGCTCAACAATGTAATTTGTTATGAAAGTAGAATAAATCAGGGTTCGTTATTTTCAACCTCTACATGTTGTTTGGTTGTTTAACGTCGAGAATTTTCACTCATATTGAGACGCCACCACTTGCCTGTGGAGGACTGCAAATCTAGACCTGTAGACAGCAAATACGGCCTTTGAGCAGTGAGGGATCTTTTTCTTGCCAGCACCTACTGTGCCGTCCGCCGAAACATGGCTGAAATATTGCCGACTCGGCGTTAAACAATAAACAATCAATCAATCAACCTACTTTGACACGGGACCTAGGTTTATACGGTCTCATCCGAAGGACCGATATCCACATCGAACAGTGGATTCGAATCCGTGACGCGAGGATCAACTCCTTACGCTGCGAATCTAGAGCAAACGCCTTAACCACTGCGCCAAGGTGTGACACCTCTACATGTATAATTATTTCATATAAGATATGTGAATCATTTTTATGAATAGTGATGTTTTTTTTTCATATTGAAGTACTAGTGAATCAGCTGAATACTCTTCAATCCTAATAAAAAGAAAGTCCACTACGTCTGAATCTCTTAATCTCAGTGGCAATTTATTTCTTAATAATATAAATTAGTTTATTTCAAATAACTTCATAGCCTATGAAATTTTTAGTATCTTTTCTTTGTAACAGTATGGGAACATTAATAAGCAGAATGTGGGTACCTCCATATACCAAAGAGATCGATAGATTATATCGATTATTTCTCCTGAGATTGGCAAGAATATAGATTTCCAAAATTCTTTCCTTGTTCAATGAATTTCTTACAACTAAAGATTGTTTTACAATGTAATTCGTTATGAAATTATCATTTATTTTAATGTACAGAATTTTAACATTCGACGACTCAGATTTATTAAGATTTAAAAACAAACCATTCAAATACATGTATTTTGATTGTCATACGTTTAGGCAATAAAAACAATGTCTTATACCGAGATTGCTTTTTAAACATAAGCAATAAAGCATTATCTTAAGAAAACTTTGATACTGAGAATGCTTGTCAAACAGATAGGCAATAAAACCATGTCCCCTTTTAACTGAAATGTAAATCATATACGGTACCAATTTTGATGCACCAGATGCGCATTTCGACAAATTATGTCTCTTCAGTGATGCTCAAGCCGAAACGTTGGAAATCCAAAATATTTAAATAAAAAAAATTTGAAAGAGCTGAAAAAAATGCCCAAAAAATGGAGCCAAATAACTCGAAGGATCAGAACTATGCATGAGGGAGATAATCCTTATTTTTGAAATAAATTTCTAAATATAACCACAGGATTTATATATATATCCGTATTTTTAAGCTAGTACCGAAGTACTAGGTTACCGGACTGTAGAAAGCATGTATTAGAAACTGTTGTGATGAATATTGCATAGATGTTTTTAACCGACAGCTTAGTATATGCGACTTTATTTATGACCTTTGGTATTTTTCATAGGGCATGCCCATTATATACATTTTACGAGGAATAAGGAAATAAACCCAAAACTCCGTATTTCGTTGTCATCTAAGCACTATTCTTTCCCAATTCCTTCAAATCTAGCGATAATAAATATCCCTCTCTCCCTCTCCCTCTCTCATCTAAATGTAATTATTTCAACAAATTTCTACTCTTTGTAAACTCTGAGGGGAATAGACTTGTAGATTAAGCCTTTCTATTTGACAGGTATGTAATTTTATCATATTCTTATGATTTTTATCTTTGAAAAATCTTTTCCTAATGTTATTGTAAGATATACAATTTTTGTTTACCAGAGTCGCTCAGTTTTTGTCCGTCGTCGTGCGTCGTGTGTTAACACTTAGATATTTTCAGCTTCTCATTTGGAAATGCTGAACCAATGTCAACCAATTTTTGCATACGCCTATGGGTAAAGAGGAACAAAAATTGTGAATTTCACGGTCCTCGCCTCCCTGGGTCCTGAGGGATGGGATGGGACAAAAACCATCAAAATTCTTTTAAAAGCTTCTTTACTCCTGGAAATAAAGCAGTTAAACTGTTGGCATGATTGTAATAAGCGTTAAGCCCTCTACCAAAATTGTGAACCCTGGGTTAGGGGTTCTGGAGTAAGGATGTGGCTCTATTGAACATATAGTGAAAATAGATAAATTCTTTATAAATATACTTCTTTTTTCTCTCAAACCAAAATATAGGTACATGAGATACTGTAATATATTAACATTATATACAATAGTCAGTAGGTACATATGCAATACTACAGCATGAAAGGAAGTGAAAAGAAACAAGAAATGAAGATTCAAGGAGGAACAACATCATAAATTTTCGTAATAAACACACATCTACATATTTTTTACAGTAATTTTTTCATGTTAGGTTGACATTATTTCCATTAATTTAGAGTTTATAATAAAAGTAATTGCTTAGGTAATTTTTCTTATATTAATTACATAAATAAAGTTTTACATTCTAGGGTATAATTTTTTGTACTTGTTCACATAGATGTTTTTAGTTTCACAAAAAGAACATGAGCCAGAAAATGCAACACTTAGATATTTAACCTATATAAAAGATTTAATATTTAATATATAAAATATTTAAAAGGATTTAAAAGAATTATGATGTTTTATAAGCAGTCAGAACAATATTGCCTCAGTTTAAACTGATGGGAAAAAATGAAAACACAATTATGCCTACTAGTTTTGACTTTCTCAAGAATGAATTTCTAGTCTGGGTCTTCTTTAATTGTCGTATTCTAACTGTTGATCATCTGTTTGCAAAATACCTTGTAATAAAACATTGATAATTGTACATTCCGACAACCTTTGTTTTAATTTATCACTCCTAGGCTTTTATCTAAATTGAAGCATTAAAAGTGAGTAAGTGAAAACCAATCATTTTTAAAAATGACTACCACTACTTTTTCTTTTTTTTTTAAGTTTAGGAAGATGGAGACAACTTCTGTTTCAAAGCGACATCAAATGATACATGACGACGCCGATAATGTCCATCTCGTAACTGGGGGTGGTGGTTACACGGGATACAAACTAGGCAAACGGTTGGCAGACTTGGGAAAGAAAGTTATTTTAGTTGATATAGTACCCCCAAAATGGACACTGACAAACAAAATGTCATTTGTGCAGGTAAACAAAGATACATTTCTAGTCTTTCACTGGTTAGTTAGTTTGAACTCATATTTTTATTGAATTGCTTTACTCGTAACGAGCATTAGAAAAAATGTTATTAAATTCAGTTACTTATATTCATAATTTCATATTAACTAGAATTTTTGTGTGTGAAGATAATGACCACATACAACAGAAATGTACATGCATATTGGCACGTTTATTTTCTTCAATCTTCCTTCAAAAGGGGTTATTGATGTAATTAGGTCTGTTTTAGTGTGACTTGACCCACGAAGATGATGTAATGACAGCTTTAGGAGGAGCAGATTGTGTTTATCATTTAGCGTCATATGGAATGTCCGGCAAAGAACAGGTGCAAAGCTAATATTAATTATATTAATATTAATTATAATTGTTTTAGTATTTATATATATATATATATTCTTGAGGGCTTTTTTTTTTATTTATTTCCCTCATAAATCACTTTAGCATAACATAAAATAATAATGAAATCAAACTCGAACTTCGTTTACTTCAATACTATTTGTATTATGTCACCTCGAACTAATTCGGGGCACAAATTATTATGTTGTACGTAGAAATTTTTAGAGATAGCTTAGGCAATCTTAATAAACAAAAATTACAGCAATAATATTCACTAAATTTTATTTATGCTTGCAATGTTTAAAATTTTCAAAATGACCACCATTGTCATGGAAACATAGAAAACAGGATATTTTTATTTATTTATTTTTTATATCTCTCAATAACTGCCCGGCCATGCAATTCTTTCTATCCAGTCAAACTGATTTCTACAAAAAAAATGGAATCCGTTTTTACAAACTTAGGAAATCTGCATCAAATTAAAACAGTAGTTTCTCGTTCTGCTTTCAATTCTAATATTGCAACTTGTGGGATGTAAGAGGTTATCTCTTGCTGAAATGAATTAATCAATTTTCTTACGTTAGGACCCTGCTTCATTATGTCTGATTTCTAATGCAATAATGATGATGAAGTGAACATCATTGAATCAAACAAGGGGAACTTTTATTCAAGAATTCATTATGATTGCGTGGCCAATCAGCTGCATTTTACTGCTTTCTCTACGTTGCAATTGTTTTAAGTCTTTATGTAGATTCTAGGTAAGAATTTCTTGTGAATGATTTCTAGATGCAATCGAAAAGTGTATAAAAAATAAAATTAAGAGTCACACTTTTCTTTCCTTTGCGATTTCATTTCTGCAAATTTTCTATTGTAGTTTAACACCAAATTGATCGAAGAAGTTAATATAAGAGGAACAGAAAACGTCATCAAGGGTAAATAAAATATATTTAGATCAAAGTTTGGTCAAATTCATTAGCTTTAAATATGTTGGATTAATTCTAAAAAAAATTCTTTTTTATTTCTCAGCAAGTATAACACACGGCATAAGACGTTTGGTATATACAAGTTCTAACAACGTCGTCTTTGGAGGTCAGGAGATCTGTAACGGAGACGAGTCTTTACCATATCTGCCTCTGGAAAATGTACGTTCTCGTCATTAAGTTCCTTCAGTAAAGTTAATTTAATTATAGTCATTTTGTAAAGGTTAAATCACAGTTTTATTATTAATATTTCTAATTTATTAAAATCAGCTGGTATTTCAGTTTGGACTTTTACACATAATAACTGGTTAAGCAGCAATTCATTTTTGTACAATAATATTTCTCTTTCAAATGAAAAATGAATGTTCACTCATTCAGGCAAAAAAAAATATTCTAAGACTCCAAAGGATTGCTCCATCCTACCCTAGTGAATCGTTATATATGTTTACTTATTTTAATGTAAAGATTTTGCATGTTTCTGAAATATCGAATTCATTTAGAATTTGTACATTTTATTGTCACAATACAATTGATGATTGTATAAGAGATATAAAGAATTAAGACAACATTCTTGATCTTTGGAAATTTTACAATCAAAACATCTTAGTCTATGGACAAAGTAAGCATATCTTTCGGTTTAGTTTTTAGACCATTATTCAAAAACGAAGAGAATTGCTGAACAAACCGTTTTGGAAGCTGACAAGAAGAACGTACTCCGAACATGCGCACTACGGTTGGGGGGAGTTTACGGTGTAGGAGAACAGCGCCATATACCAAGAGTGGTGGTAAGGCAAAGATGTTTTCAATACTAGTAGTACATCTTTGGAAACTATCCTTTTGCATTTTTTTCATTTCAATATATAATAATTTAGTTTTTAGAAATCAGTAACTTACAATATTTTTACTATTTGGTGTCCTTTGATAACTTTCTTTAAAAGCTTAAAAAACTTAGCATATTACCTAGTTTCTTTTCATGTTGAGTTTTTAAGGTGAAGCATGGCGTGAAACAATTCGAAATTCCAGCATACTGAGTTAGAAAAAAAAATCAATAAACATCCAAGAACAAATTTTCCGTATATAAATATTCAAGTAACTATTTACAGAAATATCTCAATCGAGTTACTTGATTCAGAAAGATAAATTCAATGATTGTGTTATTTTTTCCGGAATGATTTGAGCATAATTCTTACAGAATATGGCGCAGACAGGAGTAATTCAGGCATTATTTGGCACAGATTCTCTGACAGATTTTTTACACGTAGACAATATGGTCCAAGCTCACATCTTGGCTGCCAAAGCGTTGACCAAAGAAAAGGGATACAGAGCGGTATTTTTATGAATGAATTGGTAAAATGTTAAAAGCTCATTAGATAATGACTTTGCATAGATGAAAAAAAAAATCCATTATTTGTTTTTGCAATTTCTTCAGGCAGGACAAGCATACTTTATATCCGATGGGGCTCCCATTAACACTTTTGCGTTCTTCCGCCCACTTGTAAGTAAAACTCCGAAACAGAGTTATGTTAAAACTTTAAAGCATTGTTGATCAATGTCTTCAAACTGTTTTTACGCAAATGGTATGTAAATAAGACTGTTTCTTCTAGATAGAAGGTCTGGGCTACTCTTTACCAAGACTCCAAATTCCAATCTGGTTGATGTGCTCTATTGGTAAGCACTTTAATGAAGGTATTTATTCATGGACGTCAAATTCAGAATGTGGTACAATAATTTGTTTCTTGTTATCCTCAGCATGGCTCATCGAGATGGTACTTTACATATTGTCTGGGGTCTACGACTTCCAGCCCATTTTAACGAGAATGGAGGTAGGCGAAACAAATAAAGCAAGTTCTGTATATGCCTGTTTTGAATATTTATTTTTTCGATTGATTAAAAAAAATGTACTTATTCTATAAGGTGTACAAGATGGGCGTCTCCAATTATTTTTGCATCAAGAAAGCATCACGTGACCTTGGATATAAACCAATCAAGCAAAACGAAATATCCGACATACTTCAGGACTTCATGAAGCGAGGATTCCAAGCGAAGCAGAAGAATATGTCAATAGTGATTCGTTTGAATTGGTTTGCTAATTTTATCTTTTATGTGGCCTTTACGTCTTTCGTCGTGTCATACTTCCCAATGTGGAACTACATAACATTTGAAAAAGCTACCTTACATATGTTTTTCGACAAGTGGAGCTAACACTGGGAGTAAGTGACACAGTTTTAGTGAAAATTTCAGCGAATTAAACATTTTCAATTTTTTTCTTCATTTTTTCAAATTGAAACAGTTGAAAAATGTATCTAAACGCCCGAAATGGCAACCAATTATATGGTTTTCAATAAACATATTTCTTAGATGTCCTCACAAGCAATATATTGAAAAACATACAAGAAGTGAAATGTGCTTGGGGCTTATACTATATAATATGTACTTATAGAACACACGTATGATTTTTGGAGAAACGTTAGATTTTCTGGTTAGTCAGTAGCGAAGGGAAACATTATCTATCAAACGCTCAATTTAATCACATCAAGGAGGATTAAACTTTTAAGACATTGTTCCAAATCCTGCAGTAATTATTTTTGTGTTCCTAACTTTGCACGACCAAGGAAGAATCTTGTGACATTTTTTGATTCAAAGAGTTTAAATTTTTGACTTGATTTTTTTTTTTTTTTTTTTTTTTTTTTTTTGCAAATTCGTCCTTGCGTCAAGTGTTTGATCTAAACATATTTGCAGTTCCTGTTGTATAAATATTGAGTGATTTTACTTTTTGCATTTAAATCTTTTTTTCTCTCCAAAATTATATGCATTCGATATTAAAGCTTCTAGATTAACTGTTATTTGGCATCTAAAACTTTCTGGAATTGCAGCTGAAATCACCCTTTATTCGGTGATCTACGCAACAACAGTTTTTGCAATGCATTGGTACAATTTTGTTCTTATCAGTATAATTTATTTTTACATTAGTATAATAATTTTATTCAACAAACTGCTTCTTCAATTGTACTTTTTTATTATTTATATCTGATTTTTGAAAACTTTGATTTTAGTGATCAATGTCGCAAAAGTAATGACGTTGTTTTCTTCTGAAAGTTATCGAATCTCTTTGCCTTCCTGATGGAAATCTTGAAAGATTTTTGAGCAAGATAATGACGTCACTTTCTGAAGAAACAATCGAAACTTTTGAAATCAATGGATATACACATGAAATATTCAGGGTTGTCATTTTAAGGGAAGTTGTGCTTATCTTCGTCTTTTGCATATGAAAATTACATACATGTATATCGACAAAGCGATTTTTCATTGTTGCATGTTAAGCAATATTAATTCAAATAAAAGAAAAACAATCCAATCAATGATTTTTTCTTAATCTTGATATACATAAAATTATTCGTGTAAAAACGTAGTTTTTAGATGATTGCTATATATTTGTATTTCCAACTGTTTTCTCTCTGATAACTCTTTTGAAAGTTAAGTGGATTTTTTTTCTCTATATTTACAACTGAATGTAAATTTCGCCAAGTGAAAGGTAAAGTTCCTGATATACATGTCAATTTCGAGGGCTATTCGTTGTGTCTGATGGCAGTGGGCAGGGACTATCGAAATTAACATGGAATGCTTTGTATATCGTTTCAATTCTATTAAACTGCATTTTTGATTTATATATATATATATATATATATATATATATATATATATATATATATATATATATATATATATATATATACATGTACATTTTTATTTTACGTGTAAATCTAAGAAATCACTGTCTAGTTTGTTGGGTATGCCAGGGACATTAAAGACAGTAGCAAACGTGGAATAATTTATGAATGACGGGTTTGCACAGTCTGCAGATTATTCCATGTTTCCACGTTTGCCCTGGCATACCCAACAAACCAGACAGTGATACCTTAAATCGTTATACTATTAGTTATTTTACAAGTAATTAAATACCCTTTTGTGTTTTTGGAACACTTGATACAAGTCAACTGTTTTCTATCTGGCTCTTTGTCCACAGATGAAAAAATACAGTAATTTTTAAGATGATAGATACTGGAAAACTTTAATCTTTTTGGAAAATCTTTCAGCCACCCACAGTCTGTCTTCACCATCAACACAAAGTCCATGGGGGTAAGAAAGACCATCTTCTTTTGTTAGAAGGTACCGTATAAAATGACCATTCTCGTCAATCATGTGGATTACGCGATTACTAAAATCAGCAATAAGGATATGTCCAAAACTATCGCAGCATATGTCGCGAGGTGTAAATTTCTTGAATTCGCCGAGTTTCAAGTTTCCGTCATACATGAATCTTGTGTCAAAATCGACATCGGTTACAATAACGTTCCTCATACTTTCCTCTGTAATACAGATGTCGTTGTTAATGTTTTCACACACTGCTGTTGGATCCTTCAGAAACTCATGTTCAAATTCTCTTTTCATGTTTCCTGTTCGGTCGAGTCTGACGACCTTACCTTGAGGACAATCTTGAAGACAAACGATGATGTCATCAGAGCGTGTGCAGCAAATGCCATTCGGTTTGCCCTCTGTCTGACGAAGATTTTCAACAGATTTATCCGACTTTATCTTTCTAATGAGTTTGTAACTGTATTCAGTGTACAATATGGTACCATCATTCATCACTGCTAGTCCCGTTGGCATACCGTGTCCAGATTTTGTTTGAACGGTATCTACACATTCTCCTTCCTCGTTGAAAATATACAATTCTGGACCTGTTCCGCTTTGAAGAATCCTGTTTGAATGATAAAATCTTACATAAAGTGTGTACTTTGATCGTGAATCGATATCGAATAAAAGGTTTGCTTTGGACATTAATTTTCTCTCCTTTTGTTTTCTTCTATCGATTATTGATGGTTTAAGAATGCCAAACTGGGCTTTTATTTCTCTGTTATTTGGTTTACCTTCAAGAAATCTTGGTGCTCTAAATTTAGGCTCCGATACAGCTGACGTCATCCCAAAGCCTTCCTCGTCTCTCTGATAAATTATTTCTTCGGCATTGAGATTAGCATGGTTTGAGAAATTATTATGTTCAGCATTTAGTTTTGAAATATTCAATTCTTTTTCTATTCTTTCCACGTATTCCAAATCCCTGAATTCCATTTCATTTGCAGAATTAAGAGTTTCTTGCAGAATTTCATCTATAATGGAATGAAGAACCTTTGCCTGTTCTTTAGCTTGAGTTCTTACGACTTTATAACCCTTCTGTATTTCAGACCCAGTCACTGAGTCTTTAGAAGGCAAATCTCTCAAATGATACAATCTTTCTGGATCACTTTTGGCAACAGTTGATTCCTCTGTCAGTTCGAAAAGTTCACATATCGTGTGTTTGTTATGTTCTTGCTTTGTACATTTCAAACAGACGGGGACTTTGCAATCAAAACAACCGTATGCACACAAATATGGCCTATGTTGAAAACACGTCATGAAAGCTTTATCTATCCCACCATGAGTAATTGTTGTTTGTTTCACTGACACAGAGCACTTATTGCAACATCCACAACCTTTTCTAGACTCGTGTAATTTGGGAGGTTGATTCTCTTTCTCTCCTTTTCCATCTTTATTGATCAATAGCTGTTACAAGAGAAATAAGATTTCAAAAAAGTATAAATGAGTATCTATAGGGGTACGGGGCTTGGGAAGCTTGATATATATGCAAACTGACAATGAATTGTCAAAAGAATTATAAAGGAATATCCTTCTTTTTTAATTATTAACCATTACATTATTATAACTGTATTCTTTTCAAACACAAGGACAGAAGGTTAGTTAAGTATCTTATAAATCACGTTTGATGTACAAATCGAAAGTTGTCGTTTTAAAGTTTGATTATATATTGATTATTTATAAACAAGTCCTGTAACTGACCTTCACTATGTGTTGGAATGAAGAGATACAGACAATAATTGTTTGTATCATTGCCACTGGTCCCATAAAATATATAGTCATTGTCACCACAGTATGTTAAATTCTCCTCAATGGAGTCGGAGAAAGAGGAATAACTCAGTGTAAACACATGTACAGTAGTTTAAGGTATATCGGAACTTCTTGTAAATTCATCTCCCTTTTATACCTTGATTTTGTCTTCCTTTTATGCCTTGATTTTGACCTTTGATAGAGTGACCCTCACATTTACTTTCTCGTTGTAACATAAAAATTTAGAACATGAATTAAAACAAAGGCTATGAATAAAAATTTTAAAGAATTAGATTTAAAAGTGAATCTGCCATACATAAAAGTAGCAATGGTAGTGAAAAAATACTGTTCTAAAAGTTTAACAATTATAGTGCTAGTAGAGGTACATGGACAATGTATTTAAACATTTAATTAATTACGAGGAGGTGGCGATGAAGTTAGGGATGTGCACCTCTCCTTAAATCCATCACCTCATTAAGTCAAAATTTATTTCAATTGTGGGACTACTTTAAAATAGTAGCACACTTTTAATTGATCCCAAAACAAACAACTGGGCCCGTCTGGATAGAAATGAATAATGTGACTGATACATCTTAATTTTATTAGTGTTGTAAAACTGCACGTGTCCTATTGTTCGAATCGTTATGCTCGAGTGAGAATGTGTACTGATTGATATAACATTCCCAAATTAGTATTGTAAAACTGCACTTGTACTGCCTTATACATAAAAATTATGTAATATTAGTAAAATTCTACTGATCAATACTTGGTTTTTGCATGCTTGTTACATTTCTTTGATGTGAAGTATTCTACTTTGTGTTAAAATTTAACCCCGGGGCTCCTTGTTATTTTTTTTTTATATATACATCTATAAACTATCAAACTATAAAACAATGAGTATATATATATATATATTACAGTAAATACAGTAAATATGTGTAAATCAGGAATTTCATGTATGTCCTGAATTTTAGGAAATACATGAAATTCCTATTCTGCATAAGAAATACGTGTATTTACTGGTTTCGGTTAGGAAATACATGTATTTACTGAATTTTTCAATACTTTTTACACATATTTACTGACTGTGTTTTGGTGAGATAATTGTATGCATGAATCATAAAATATGAACAAATGCACAGTAAATTCAATGTTTACCTAACCAACTTAAACCCAGTGAGTAGAGTTTAATATCTTGCTGTACGTACAGTGGTCTTTGATTTAATTTCCATTTAAAATGGTTGAAGATAAGAAGAGGCTTTTACCGAGAAGCTCTTTACTTGATATCAAAATATTTCTGTTTAACTTTGATAGCAAAAAGAAATATTAAGGTGAAATGCTACACCAAATTTTTATTTCATAAATGTTTAAGATATTTCTTTTAATATTTGGTTTCAGTTTTAAACGACTGATATTATTCTTAATTATTTTTTACGATTTTTTATTTTGCATTTTTTTCAGAGAAAATGTATAAATTGTTTTATTTGCTAATCAAATGCTTTAGAGTTTTATGCTGTTAAATGCATAAAATGATTATCTAATAAAACATGTCAAGAAAAGCCAGAAAAACATTTTGATTTTGGAAAAATTATTAATCAAAATAAAATATATTTTTTTGTGAATATTCTTAAAACCTACAGATAAAATCATCAAGAACTAGATGTGTCAAGGTGACAAGAGTGCCTCCTACTCACATGCAAGTTTTAAATATGTGAAAGACCAGGGGTGTTCAAATACCAAATGGGTGAAAATGGCCCAAAAAATACATACTGATACGCTGCTTTCATTTTCTGGAATCAGTTGTCTTTCACTTTAACTGAGTGAAATATATCATCTGGAATCAGTTGTCTTTCACTTTAACTGAGTGAAATATATCATCAAATAAATACAAAGTTATTTTTATAAATATTTAAAAAAAAAAATAAATAGCTTACTGACTTTTCTTCACACGTTTTATTAGATACTCATACTATGCTACTTTGCATTATTCAACAGTAAATATAAAACCCTGACACATCTTATTTGCAAATAAAACAATATTTATATTGTCTTTAGAAAAATGCCAAAAACCTCTTATAAAATACATATAATGTAATGGAGCCAATGTCAGTATTTCAATGATGAAACCTTACTGATTTGTTGAAAAAATCAGAGATGATCTAGTTTGTTATGGGGAAAAAAATTTAAGACAGTCTGTCATAAATCCATATAGTAGATTACATGTATTATGTAAAACATTGCTATACAAGTCAGCAAAGCTGTGAAATTCAGACACAATTGGGGTTATGAGACTTAATTATCTGTAGTTAAAAATTTTGATCACAGAAGACCTCTATGTGGATTAAGAATTTCCTGTCACAGGTTGCAGATTGAAGTGGGTAGGTTTACCAGCATCCCTAGAAAAGATTGCTTAACAGTATTGACTATGAAACTCATTTTTTTGATAACATGTGAAAAAATTTGATCAACAAAGAAAAGAAAAATTTGAATGAATTAAAAACAAATTTTCAAATTTTTCAGCTTTAGATAATGAACAAAACCCTTTTAGTTACTTAATATTGAAGACAAGGAAGTTCTTAATTTTGTAAGCAAACTTATAAAAGATAACATGTTATAGTAGTCATATACTTTTATGCATTGTATTCTTTTAAACCTGAAATAGTATTGTCATAAGATAATTATTAAAATGAGCATGTAGGATACATGTAGCTATTTATCATACTATCCATTGGCATGTCTTTTCCTTATTCCTGTAATAATTTCATAATTGTCTATTTTGGGCTCTAAATTAAGTAATAAATATTCTGTTCTGTTCTATCCATTCAATAAGAGAAAAATGACTGCAGATCATGTTTTAATTCAAAATTACCAATATAACATATTAAATAATGTCATTTGATACAATTCATCATCATCTTTCTTCAGCAAAATAAGTTTGAAGTAAAATTCAATTTCTTAATCATAACACTATCAAGTTTCATCAAGAACTATGTATCTAACCTTTTGAGCATGAACGATGACAGCTGGAATGGAGAATGTGGTGTCAACAAGGGTAGTAACCAGAGACGGCGACAGACGGAGGCAGTGTATGGGGTCCTTATGTGCCAGCTGGCACGAAAAGGAAAGGTGAGTTGAGATAAACTTAAAGTCATACCAATGTGCACTGAATTTAGTCAAGGTATTCCGAGTTTTTAGTTTACTGCAAGTTAGCATGATCATTCACAACACATCTTTTTCCCTTTCACTATATAGATACTTTTAAATTCCAGTATCACTTTCCAACCAGGCATGGCACATTACCTTAATTTTGGATCTAGAACAATATTGCATGTATGATGATGATTTTTTTTTTAGATTATTTAATTTGATTATTGTATTGTTAAAGTAAATATTCAGATTACCGTGAATACAATTCTTGATTCAAGTATACATTATTGAAAATATTTAAAATTGAAAGGTTTTTTTGTCGTTGGAAACCCTAACCAGGCGAGCTCTATTGTACTTTGGTTACTCGTGTATGAGATCATAAAATTTAGATAATTATGATATCAAAACGGAAGCTCTCCATATAAGCGTGCAAGAGAGCATTATGTTGGAAAAAATGTAAATATGTACTGAGTACGTCACCTTACGTACTCTGAGTGTGATCAATTTTTAAACCGAGGCAGGCTACTGACAGATAAGTTGATGTTCAACAACCCCAATTCAAAGATCGCATTTCGTAAAAAAAAAAAAAAAAATTGTATGGTCATTAAAATGACCTTGTTAGCAAATGCAATTTATCAATGGGTCGAATTTTGGCTAACGTGTTTCATACCTAAGGAAGCTCATTTATACGGAAGCCCATTTAGAACCTATCAAAAATATTTTTGAATTCGTTGTAATGAATTGTCGAATTTGTTATAACGAAAAACTCCTTTGTCTGATGCAACCCAAAAGAAATGGTGGGACGACCAAATTTTTAAAAGCGGTCCTGGAAAGAATATATCAGTCATAGACTACATAGACTACATTAATTTCTTGGATGGAACTGTTGGAGCAGCAACCCCTCATGAAAGACTAAACAAAGTCAACTCAACCATAACAGGATTCTTCAACTTTTTCTCCACGGATGATTATCGTAAGAAAAATGTCATGATGGGAGAAGAAGATTTTGTCAAGTTCTGGACCATTTTATCTTTTATCGATGATCGTCAATGCAGAAAAGTCTTTGTCAAGGATATACCTACACCATTAACGATGGCTTTTTTATTAGAAGATTTTCAGGCTTTTCTTTCAAATGATCAATTTGTGGATGAATATAGCAATCGAATATTTAATATTCTGAAATTTAAAAGCCAAGATGGATGTTGCAGAGTTTAAAAAAAATATTGCAGACTGTTACACACTGTGTCGTACTTAAAAAAAAGTAGTCTTGCACAAGTCACCTTGATAATTTATCATTCGCGTCCAAGCCAAACTTAAAATTTTCAGTTAAAGGCAGAAGAACATTTTGTTTTGATTCAATCCACGGAAATTGCTTTTTGGTCATGTCTAAGCAGTTTTCCTTTCGTATTTTCGTTATCATTGGGGGGGGGGGGGGGTGGTAAAATTAAGTAAACAATATATATTTCCACTCTGGGATTATTATTTCATTTTCTTATAATTGAGCCAAGAAACAAAGTCACCATGTACCATACATGCTTACCACACAAAACGAAGTGGACCTGACTGGAAAGGAAAGAAAAAAACGACTGATGCATTATGCTTATTTATATGTGTTGTAGAACCCCACATGCATTGACCAATTCATTATGCCCAAGTTAATTTTGTAAAACAGCACAAGCATGATCGATAAAGTATATATATGGTAAAACTATTGAGGCGGATGTGAGAGGAGTACATTGGAGATTATAAGTATATATACATTGAACAATGTAATCTTTGATTTTTCTTTCCATTCCATGAAATCTGACATAAAAGAATATTTAAAAACTATCAAGGCCAAATATTGTCAAGTAAGTTCAAGTATTTGTACCTGTATTAAGTAAATTATTAAGAGTGTTTTAAGAATGACCCTGTGCCAATTTTTTGCGAGATAAACATTTGAAAAAAAACATTTTGGATCGGAATCGGAACAACCTAAAGAGTAGCAAACACACACACACACACACACACACACACACACACACACACACGAATAAATAAAAAAAAATTTGAAAACATGAATATCAATTATCCAATATTATTGTGTGTAAAGTATCAAATTACAGCTTTGTATCCTGTGAATGCATTTCACGGAAAAAGGGGAAACTTTCATTTTTTAATTCAGTTTTCTGAACATTAAATGAATTTACGAATTGTGATTCATGGATTCCCTGGATCTGCCCATGTATAACCCAAATACACTAATGAAAGAACAAGGTTCACTTAGGGCCTTTTTTGACCCTGTGAATTTCTGAAAAAGTGAAACTGCTTAGATTAAGTTGACAATGCATTAATTATCATTTAGACCATTGGTGATTGTGTATCTATCAAAAATGACGTGATATTCTGGCTAGTGGATGCATTATGACGTCATGAATTGCGTCATTTTCATCATATCCTGAAAAAATCTACAAAAATGGCCAATCTTTGAAGCTATTTTTCGATATTTTATATAGAGCGCAACCTCTGATCTAAAATATGCAATTATAAATGTTTGAAATGGAACATAGAATGTTAGTCAATGAATTGATATAGCTACAGGACCATTTAAAGCATGAAGCGAACCTAGCTCTTTCATGCGTAAATCCATTTAAATCCAATAAATCCTCTTATTTCTATACCAATTTTGCAAAACTGATCGAGATCACTTTGTGTAACTGATCGACATTCCTTTGTTTTTTTTCCCTAAAAGTTACGCTTGTTTTTGAAATTATTACCAGAAATCAATTTCAATAAAACCTATGTATACGCAAACAAGTACTGTTTTCAATGAAGCCATCTGTATATATATATATATATATATATATATATATATATATATGAAAAAGGCAGGTCAGTCAAATGCATGTATCAAGAGAAAGCATGTCATCTATGTACATTTGTTTGTTTATGACTTTATCTCCTTATCTTTAAAGGAAGGGTTCGTTGTAAAAAATTGCATCCGAATTTAAAAAAAAAGAAAAAAACATTCTTTTTCCCAACATAGAGATATGAGTGATTTTCCAATTTCTTCAATAAGGTCTGAAAGAAAATTGAAATTAGACTGTTTCGAAAAACATCTAATTAAGAAAAAAAATCGCACTAGCCTAACACTTTTTTTCTGGATAAATTAAAATAATTCCTTAAGAAAATTTGCATTTTAATACGTCAAGAAAATTAGATAAATAAAAAAAAGTCTCTTATAGCATGTTAAACGTTGCAATATTCTATCTTTTCTATTTGTATTGTATAATTTTCCATTTAAATTGTACAATTTTATTCATATTCTATAATTTTCCATTTGTATTGTATAATTTTTCATTTGTATTGTATAATTCTCCATTTGTATTCTATATTTTCCATTTGTATTGTAAAAAAAATCATTTGTTTTGTATAATTTTTTAATTTGTTTTCGATATCTTTTATTTGTATTGTATAATTTCTTATTTGTATTCGATAATTTTTCATTTGTATTGTATCCGAGGATTGTTTATTTATATCGCTACGAAGGATTTCACTTATCAAGTTTGAGTCTTTTTTATAGGATAGTGTTTAAAAAAGCGAGATGTTTCGGGTAAACTGGGCTGCTCTATATACATGGATGTTAAGGGACGGTCAATTAATCTTCAGAAGGGGGGGGGGCAAATTTTGTCGACTCAGATTATTTATTTTCTTTTTTGCTGTTGCAGGAGAGAATATTTATGTCCAAAATGACCAGAGACAAGGAGGAGAAGACGAAAATTTGCCCAAACCCGAAAACTCCATTTCGGGGGCGGGGGGGGGGGGGGGGGGGTTACCATCAGTCAAGATAAAATTATCAATTTTCTTAGACAACATTTCCAAGAACAGATTATTTCTTTGTCATCTGCCAACGCTCCCTTTTCATCTAAATGACCGTCCTCTAAACGCACGCAAATGCATATAGATTTGAGCTCCTGGAACATCTCGTTCATTTTCAACATGATACAGGCTTAATCTTGACAAATGAAATCCTACGTAATAAACAATCCTCGGATACAATACAAATGGAAAATTATAAAATACAAATAAAAATTATACAATATAAATTGAATTTTATAAATACAAATAATAATCATACAATACAAATGAAAATTTTTACAATGCAAATGGAAAAAATCGAATATTTGACTTTTGACGTTTGACTTGCCATACTAAATACAAGTGAAAGGGAATAATTTCTTCCTGAATGTAAAATATAAAGTTTGATTACAGAGGTTTTTTATTTACATTTTATTTAAAAATATATTTTGTAATCATAAAAAAACTCTTCACTGCTTTTACAAGTTCTACAGGTTTGGATTTTATAAGATAATACCAGCAGTGCGTACTTTAGGGCTAGTCTGATAAAACATCTCCAAGATATGCCTTTTTTGAAGAGGAAAAATCGAATAAAAATACTTTATTTACTGGTTTGTTAAAATTTAAGTTTTATTTAAGTAATGTTATAAAAAGCACATACATGTACTATATTTTTGGTTTCATGCTACAAAAATGGACAAAGTTTTCATGAAACAATTCACACTGCCGGTAAGGTTAAAATTAATGTCGTTTTTAGCTGTGATATTTGTTTTGGACATACGCAGTTTTAATTAGTTTTTCTACATCTTGCTAATAAATATCATACTGTAGGATCCTAAATTTGGGCCCACGAGTATCTTGATCAGAAACATATTATATTTATTTTTTTTTAAGTTGATGAGGCTTTTACCAAAAAAAAAAAAATGACTAAAGAAAGAGAGAAAAAGGAAAGAAAATAGTCCCAAAGTTAATAACTGTGTATTTTAAAGGGGCCTGGACACAGTTGCATTGTTTACAAAACTAAAAATCTATTTTTATTCGAAAAATAACTTCAGTTTAATGATTTGAACTTACATGAATATTCTAAGAATTTAACGAAAACGGCATTCTTCATGATATCACGTTAAACACCTGTGTTTGTAAACAGGGCACGAGCTCTGTTATTGTTAGTGTTTATGTTTTACCTGGTGAGTTTAATTTGTTTAGTCTGGACACATCACTGAGCACGGACTAACAATACTGTTATTATAGATTATTATGAATTATAGTTTTCACATTTTTCATTCATACACAAAATTTCTACTTTTCTTACGTATTATGGATAAAAATTTCTTTGTGAAAGTATAAGGATATGTTTCAATCAAACACGTCCCGAAAACCGTAGTTTTAATAATTTCCAGATAAAAGAATTTTCTTAACACGCTTTTTATATATTTCGATGTGAAATGTAGCAACATATAAGTCATGATATTATCTAGAAAATTTTAGAAAATATGAGCTTCAAATCTGTTTCCCGGCCCCTTTAATTAAGCTATTTTTAGAATGATAATAACGGTAAAAATCATATTAAATAATGAAAGTATAGAATATAAAAATAAAGCACAAGATATAAAGTTATTATAAATATTTAAAGTCAATTGATGTGGCCATTAAACGTCAGTATTTCTAAAGCAATTCATTCTAATCCCGTTCTATAGTTTGCAAAGTGCATAATTATTATCATAGATTTAGGTCTTTGGTGAAATCATTTAATATTAAATGTCTTAAAAACAAGATTACATCGAGTCCTGATTAATTTTAAGATATGAGCTAGATCAGTTATAAATATTCAGGATTATTGTAAAGAGGGGTGGATCAAAAACACTTGAATGGTAAAAAAAACCCCTATCCAACTATCCTGATTATTAATTAAATTCAGATTTGAATTGATTATGGATCTCTGGCCGTGGGGTTGAAGCATATAAAACCAGGCCCGTAGGAAGCAAATTCAGGGGGGGGGGGCACAGCCATACATTTTCAGTTGACAGTTGAGGGGGCACTATCAAAAAAAATTTCCTGACAAGCAAAAAAAAAAAAAGGTCATCATTTACTATAGTAATGTATATATCGGCAAAATTATTGGGGGGAGGGGGGGCAGGGCCCCCCAGTGCCCCCCCCCCCGGTTCCTACGGCCATGAAAACTGCATTGAGATGGCAATCCAATGATAGTATGTAATTGCATACCACAATAAATATGAATGAACATATGCACATTTGTCTACATAATCTCATGCATTGGCAAACTTCAAATCTTGATGTAATCATATACGGTACCAATTTTGATTCACCAGATGCGAATTTCGACAAATCATGTCTCTTCAGTGATACTCATGCCGAAACTTAGGAAATCCGAAATATTTAGATAAAGAAAAGATTTTGAAGAGCTGAAAAAAAGGTGCCAAAGACTGGGGCCAGATACGTCGAAAGATGCATGAGGGAGATAATCCTTAATTTTGAAATAAATTTCTTAATTTTACAAAAATTAAATATATATCCGTATTTTCAAGATACACACATGTAGTATAGTACCAAAGTACTTAGCTGTTGAGACCCTCGAGGACTAACAGTCCACCAGAAGAGGCCTCGACCCAGGGGTCATTAAAACATTATAAACATTATAAATTAAAACGTTAAAAATTTAGGGCATGGGTCATGCTGATTGCTGCAAAAATAGTTACGTATCAGTTTTTGCCACATATTTGCACAGAAGTATCGTTTCCTTCGTAATTTAAAAGTTCTTTGAAGTCAAAGTAACTCGTTAAGGATAAATAACACAAACAAGCTCTCTCTCTCTCTCCCTTTGAGAAATCGGCGATAGAATCATGTTTATATAGATAACTTAAATAATGTTTTTAAGAATAAGTGTAAATTTTTTTTTAACATTCTGTAATAAAACGTGTTTAAAAATTTGTTGTTATAACTATAATATTTGTATTAGTATAATTTGACTGACCAGATGAAAATAAAAAAACAAAAACCGAAGATTTATATTTGAAAGTTTAAAACCTTTTGTTTTGGTAAGTGACCAAACACATGCTGACTAGGGGCTTTGTATCTTATTTTAAATACCTTTATTCATTGAAGATTTTGTGTTCTGCTCTACTAAATCATGAGATATATTCTATAAATATATCAGGTCCTACATATGCTATTGGTTACGGAAATCAATAATTTCGCAATCGTTTTGGAAGTCTGGGTTCTGTGTTTCATGAATCAACTGCTTGTCACTAAAATTTAATCTTTTTTTAGGTTATACGTTAACTTGAAATTTCATGGAGTAATTTTCAATGTCGGTGAGTGATATACCCCATAATTCATTTAGCGGAATGCAGATAAGCGATCCATCGTCGTCGTCGCCTCCGGCCTATCCAGGACCGGATACCCGAGATTATATTCCTGGATATTCGGGCTTTACATACCCTGGAGGATCTGGTATTGTTACAGCAGATCAAGTACAGGAACTATGCAAGTAGCATTTAAAAGTGTAAACCATTGAATTTTCCCATACAATCACGTCCATTTTGATAAATTTTATTCAATTTGAAGAGGTTTATATGCACCCTTTACAGGCCCTCCTCCAGCATATGACTCCCTCTTCTCACGAACGAACACGAATCCTCCCAAGTTAACATATCATCGCCGTTCAAACAGATCCAATCCATACCTTCAAGATGACAGAAATCTATGGGAAAAACTTCATGAATGCTTTGAAATGTCCAGTGAGTAAAAAATTCCATGTGCATAACAATTTCTATTAGATGATTCAGTGATTATGTAAACAAACTAGTTAAGCAAGCCTTGACATTTTTCTTGATTGTTTATTTTTATTGAAATCTTGACTGAAGTGAAAAGTGAAAGTGAGAGAAGTAGGAATTAACAGATTAAAGAAAAACTTATCCAGTTGTATTAATTTTGAATTCCTTGATCTAGTTTTCGTGAGATATGGAAAAAATGCAAGTAATATTTCAAGGAAAGTAACTTTTTGTAACTTGTTCACGATTTATATCAAGTCCAATTTAGAAAAAAAAATTGCTCACCTGGAACGTCTCGTGCTTGTGAACATAACTTAATATGATTTCTACAATACTGGATCTCAGCCAACCAGAGAGCTAGAAATTATTAAATAATATAATAATGAAACAATATTACTGGGTGTTTTTTTTTTCAACCCTATGATTTAGCCATTCTATAAGTACAATATTCACCTTGCCTTTTGGGCTCGCTGAATACATATATTGTACTCCTTCGTGCTTGGTGAATGTTGTTCTCCTGAGGTGGCTTAATCATTGTGTTGATTTCAAAAAGAGCAATAATTGTATAGTATTTCTAATTTCCTTTTACTTATACATGTTTTAAAATATCGACATGAGTTTTATCTCTTGAGGTAAATTTTATGTTATCATTGCAATAAATATCCTTGAAAATAATTGGAAAAAATAATGAGCTAATGTTTGTTTCAGTTTTACAACAGATAATATGGCTAGCAGCTCTGGCTTTTTCTATATCATATATAGTTTACGGTAAGTCAAATTAACATGCAACTGTATATACCCAGTATTCACAAATGGCAATTCTGTATGTATAATGACTATATGATATTGTAAAACAAGTACATGTTAATGATTTACTATTGGTCATTATTTTTTTTTTATATTCATTATGTTTATCTAAGGGGTGATGTCTTATAAAGGACGATTTACTCATATCATAATCCGTAAATCATGCAAAAAGAAACGTCGAGTTTATTAAAAGTATGGCGACATTTTTAATCGTTCTCAGTTTACCAAAAATAGGAAAAAACTTCGTAAGTTTCTTATCAATTCCCTTTTCCCTTAGCTTCAAATTAAGTATTGTTTTGGAAAAATTATGGCAAAATATATTTCGATATTAGGGTCATTAACAATTTGTGGATCGCCAATTTTTTCACTACACCTTATTTTCGCGAGAAAGTCATATAGTATTTATTAGCGAGACTTTAGCAAAAATTTCACGAATTCTGGGTATTGTTGAATATAATCCTTAATGATAAAAATATACCTGAGAATAAACTTTTCGCAAGCAGATAGTCTCGTATAATTACGCCAAAATAAATTTTTCATGAATAAAAATTGATTTACAGTAGAAAGTTTCCGTGAACCCTTTAGTACTATAATCTATACATACTTCTAAGTTTGAATGACTGATGATCATACTTCTTCATTAGGACTGATGCATAAAGGAGACTGTTACTGGAAAGTTTTCAATAAGAAAGGCAAAGTTGAGGAAGAAGAGGATCTCACCGGTTTCATACAAGTTGAGGGCGGGATCTTGTGTGCCACTATCCTATACGCCTTTTTATGTCGATTCTTTGGTCTGTTGGAGAGTCGTCGTACCCATCGACAATCTAGAGATGAAATTGAGGGAAAGAAAAAATGTGGTTGTCATCTGTTTTTTATTGGCCTGGCATTGTATATTGCTAATTTCGGTTTTTGTGTCGCAGGTAAGCTATATTTCATTTATTTATTCATTTATTTATTTATTAAAATAATTACATGCGGTATTAGCAAATGAAGCCAAAATATTGAAGGGACCAAGCATATCAAGAACTAAAGTCAATTTTTAATCGACTACCGGTATCTATTTTTTTTGAAATACCTGCTAGTTTTCTAAAAACAAACAATTGATTATATAACACACGTTTTAGAGGAAGAATCATATTTCATTGTATGGACTTAATTAATTTCTTTATGTTCCTTCTTTTTTATAGGAGCCACAAAAGTTTTCCATTTTTATGACAATAACAAAACAGAAGAAAATAAAACGTATACAATAGAGTGCGACACAGATTTCTACAGCTTTTATTATAATGCCAAAATAGGAGAACTTGTGGTGTTAATGCCGTACGCTCTTTACATTTTGATTGCCATGATTTTTGTGCCAGACCAACAGAGTAAGTTTGTTTTCCCTGTATATTTTTTCTTCGTTACAATAATTACCTTTAATTTTTGCCATGACCTTTTTTTAAAAAAAAAAATAACTGGCTTAGATTAATGTGTACATTGATGAATTGAAAGAATCCCTTTTCTATTTAAACAGTACCATAAATCTCGAAGATATGATTTTTTAAATTTTTTTTTATCTAAACAAGTTATTTTCCTTTTCAATGTTTAGGACGTCAGTCTTGTTTTGAAAAACAGAACTGGGTCTTCAAACAAATCTTCATAAAATGCGAACACAAACTTTTGAAATTAATGTAAATTATCCGGTCAATTTTTACAAATGAATCATAACATATTTATATTTTAACAGAACTTTTGTTTTTAAATTTTTTAAATATATACCTTTGATATTCTTTGTATAGAGAGATGGTTCCTACGACGCAAATGGCGTCAATGGGTCAGACTTCTTGACGCAGACCAAGATGGCATTATTAGCGCTGATGACATGGAAAGGACTAACGCCAAGTTGGAACAGATTCGTAGACTTGTTGGGGCCAGAGATACTCCCTTATCTGCTGAAGAACAAAAGAAATGGTGGAACGACCACATTTTCAAGAGCGGCCCTGGGAAAGACATTTCCATGACTGATTACGTAATGTGGGTGGAATCAAACATTCCTCTTCATGAAATGGCAAACAAAGTCAAACCAATCATTACGGGTTTCTTCAACTTCTTCTCGACGGAGGATTATCGAAAGAAAAATCTCATAATCGGTGAAGAGGACTTTGTCATGTTCTGGGCCATTCTTGCTGATGTCAACGAACGTCATTGCAGAAAAATGTTTGTTAAGCATATACCTTCACCACTAACGATGGCCTTTTTCTTGGAGGACTTTGAGGCTTTTCTTTCGCATAATGAATTTTGGAATGAATACGCCTATAGAGTATTTAACATTCTGAAATATAGAGACTCGTGTAGATGCTGCAGAGTGTGAAAATTATTATAAACTTTCTCACACACGAAAACAGGAGATATGCATTGATATTATTTAACAAACATCATGCTTTTTCAGCTACAGGTGTTGAGATACAAAAAAAGGGGAAAAAATAGCAACTGTTGCAGTATAGGATACAGTCTGTTCAATGCAGTATTTGGATTTTCCTTGCCATTTCTTTTTAAGCGAAAATACTCGTCAGTGTGTGTATGTGTGTGTGTGTGTGTGTGTGTGTGTTGAAGAAGTGAGGTAGGTGTTTTTCTACTTTTCCACTGTCATGTTACTTTTTAAGGTCGACAATAATGATCATGCATTTTAAATTAACTCTTGAAGACTGTCGTGTAAAACTGCATCTGCATGGAGAACACAAAACTGTGATGAATACGATTTGATTTTTTTAAAGTTTATAATTACATGTGTTACGTATTCAAATACTAAATTGTTCTATTTTTATTGCACCAGTAAAAAACTCAAATAAACTTTTCAGTGAAATACTATAAATTTATTTTAAATAGCATATACTTTCTAAGTCTAAAATAATATGTTTATGTCTGGATATTTTGAACAGGATAAACGTGACAGGAGACAGTTTTGCACTAAAGGCTAGTTCAAAACTGTTGCAAGAAAGGAGGAACCTAGAATTTGAGGGCTCATTTCAGGGGATATAAACTTCTGTTCAAATATGAACCCTTAAAAAAGTCATATAGATATTTAATAATTTATTTTAGGTTCCACAGTTAGGCACTTGTATATTGTTGTATGATTTGCTACATGTAATTTTTTCAAGTGATAATCTTTTTTTTTAGCTTTAAAGTGGAAAAATATGAATGTCCCATTTGCATTGCATTATTCTTGTAAAAAAAAAACTTGCTTATCCCACCTTACTGAATGCCCAATAAGTAACTGTCCCATCATGCTTTTCATCTGCCCCACCCTTGTCTCTTATCTCTCAAGGAAAGGTTCACTTTGGGACTCTCCATTGAGAATTCGAAAAAGTGGTGAAAGCCTATTTTTTCCTACATAGAGATTTGACTGACTTAGAATTTCTTCATTATAAGGTCGGTAGGAACATGGAGATAAAATTGTTTTGAGTAACATCAAATTTAAAAAAAATACGTATGACTTTTTTATTTTGGATTTATCAAATTTTCTCCTTACAAAATTCTGCATTTCAATATGTAAAGTAGATTATGTAAAGTAGATTAAGTAATACAAGACACCACAAAATACAAGTGAAATGAAATATGGAAATGACGAACAGTATTCAAGCTCAAAGTCCATTTAAAAAATACAAATCGGAGCAGAGCAAACAGAGACCTCCAAAAACATCAGAGAATGGATCAGGCGCCTTGAAGGAGTAAGCATCCCCTGCTGACTGGTCACATCCGCCGTGTGCTCCTTGTCATAATCGGGTAAACGGAAAAATCCATCGACAATTCAGTGTGTAAATAATGGCCTCACAATTAATATGAAATCATAAGACCTAATAAAAGATTTATTTGCTGATAAGGTCATCATATCGACCATAGAACTTGCCAAATGATTACTTCAAACGAGACTGTTGATATTCTTGTTTCATCAACTTGTTGGTTAATATTTTGCCTCGTTTTAAAAATTGATCGTACGTAGAGCATGCTCCTGAATATCGAATCAACTTGGAGACCTAATAAGGGTATTGCTACATAAATAAGGGAAGTTGACGATAGAAAAGTTGAAGTCATCACGTTTATCGTGAAGTTTTGTTGTTAGGTTACCATTATCTTCTTTGTTATTTAGTTTTGTTTGTTTGCTTTTGATTTCACTATGGAGACGCCACCACTTGCCGGTGGAAGGCTGCAAATTTAGACCTATACTCGGCACTCAGGGCCATTGAACAGTGATGGAATTTTTTTTCGTGCTAACACCTACTGCAACACGGTTTATACGGTCTCATCCAAAGGACTGGTCTCCACGTCTTGCAGTAGATTCGAATCCGCGATATAAGGATCAACTCCCTACTGGAAGTAATTACATTTTGAAGCTTAATGACTTTTTGAAAATAATACGAAGCTCCTCATTGCTTTGACATAAAACTTATGGGTAACAATCTTTTTACCGGTTTTGCTACTAAAAGGTAATAGGTCGTACATTGGGGTAAGTAACTCTTCTAGATCTGTGCAGGAGGTAAGAAAATTTGCTTTCATAATGTCAATTTTAGCCATTTGGCTCATCAGTTTGATAAATCATTTACAAATGCACACAGTTCTAATGAAACAACTCAGACTGCTGATGAGGTCAAAATATTTTTGTACCCCTAGCCTTTTTGCAGCATAGATTTCCCTCTGGTTTCTAGCTCTCCTAAGCCAAAGACTCAAGTGAGCTTTTCTTATCAAAATCTGTCCGTTGTCTGTCGTCGTGGTTGTTGTTGACTTTGTCTTAAACTTTTCACAATTTCATCTTCTTCTCTAGGGCCACGCCATATTTTAAGGGAAGATAATAAGGAATTAGTGAAAATTTAATTGCATCATTCAAAAATCTTCTTAAGAACCATTGGGCCAGAAAAGATTAAACTTATGTCGAAGCTTTATTACATATTGCAGATTCAAATTTCTTCAAATCATGAACCCCCCCCCCCCCCCAGTAGCGTGGTGTCATAATAGGCGATAAAATTTGTACATTATAAATACATACGTGAATATATACAAATGTGTAGGAAAAAATCTTTAAAAATCTTCTTCATGAGAACCACTGGGCCAGAAAAGTTGAAACATAGGTGAAAGCTTTATTACATTATGTAGATTCAAATTTTTTTCAAATCATGACTCCCCCCCCCCCGGGGGATAGGGAAGGTCACAATGCACGATCAAAGTTTTACGTAGAATTTTCTTCTCGGGAACAACAAAGGCGTGATTAATCATATTGATATGTAAGTTTCCTCTGGCAATGTAGATTCAAGTTTATTTAAATCAAGGCAACTGTGTGGAATGGTGATCAAAGTTTTACATAGGAATACATAGGAAGAATCTTTTTAAAAATTGCAAAGTGCAGAATATGGAAGCATTCTAGAGTAGTGAAGATTCAAGTTCGTTCAAATCAGGACCCCAGCAATAGGGTGGGGTCACCATAGTGAACAAAGTTTTACATAGGAATGTAGAGGAAAAAATAACATGATGTAGAACAGGAAGGAACAGTGACTCAGGTAAGCTTGTGGCTCATGGGTCTCTTAATTTTTGCTTTTTTTCCTCTTTCATTGTTTTTTTAATTGTTTTTTCTTTTCAACTACGAAATTGGTTTTGAAATCAGATGGGAACGTTTGCATTTTATGTTTTCAAGTCTTTTAATTTTTTTTCTTAGGTATCAAGCAAATTTAACTTGCATGTTTTGTAATAATGAACATTAGACTGTAAATGTAGAGTTCGGGCCCCACAAAAAAGCATCTTGATCAGAATTTTGTAATATTCAGGTTGCTAAGACTTGTGAGTATATTGCCAAAGAAACAAATCGGAAGTAGAAAATGATAGTCCCATCATAGTCCCAAAGATGATAGAAGTTGATAATAGTTCCTAAGCTAATAACTGTTTATCCAAAACTTTTTCTAGAAATTTTCCTATGAAATAATAAAAGTGTATGTGAAAGTGTATGAAAAATGCATGTGCTAAGAGTTTTTTAAAATACGAAAATGCGGCAGGTCACTGTGTTTATCAAAGCCAATTGATGTGATAATTAAACGTCTTTTTTCTTCAAGTATGTACTGTAAATTAAATACATAATCATATGCACGGATCTCAGAATGGCGTCTTCATTGAATTTATCTAATATAAAATGTCTCAATAATTACACGATTTCTATTAACTGTAAGATAAGAGGTGGACCAGAAATGTTTGTTTACGGAAAATGTCCAATAGTATTGTAAAGAGGGGAGGATCAAAATCACTGTATTTGCAAAAATCTCGAGGGAATCAGGACTACAGTGATTATTAAGCATTGGCCGAGGCAATGAATGATTATTAATGAAAATCACTTTATAATTAGAATTTATAAAACAACCAAATACAGGTTTCATTTGACTTTAACAAGTTTGAATGCATCATTACTACTGAGCTCTTGAGAACCCCAAAAAGGATTTTATTTCTAAAAATTTCTTTTATGGACACAAAATTTCAGAAATGGAAGCATCACTTTCTTAGAAAAACAAGTTTGAACATTGACCACTGTAAAATGCATAATTATCCTGTCCCTGTCTTGGAGTTATGCCAATATTTATGCTCTTGAACACTTATTGTGAATTTGATGCGTGCACAAAATTTGGTACAAAGATCATACCCTGTATGAAAATAATTTTCTTTTCTTCGTATGTTGTGTATGAATTTTATGAATGAATTTTGTTTTTTTGTCAATTTTTTTCAACATGTCAACTTCGTTTTTTTTTCATATTTTTGCCAAAATGAAACATGGACTGTTACTTAAAATAGAAACAACCAGTGCAAAAACAGACATCATATTCTGGTCTCTTAATAGGTTTCCTTTAAACCTCTGAAAAAATATTGTGTTTTTGTCCTTCAGACTTGCTTCCACCACATTTTCTCATATTTGCAAAGTTTTCTCATAGGCACGCTCTTCAATATACCTACCGAGGGTCCATGTGCATGTTTGTCTTCAAATTTCCATGCATTGTCATATTTCAAAATATCCTGATAAATTTTAAAACATAAGTGTGTAGATCAATTAATTTTAGGGACTGGTAAATTATAATACTGCAAAATAGCTATGTTTTTTTCTCAATGCAAGTCAGTTTTTGTCACATAACTCATTTGCATACAGGTACTATTTGGGTGCCGAAATTTAATATTTCCTAAAAGGTAATACTCGAAAGTCTTAGTGAACCATTAAAAATAGTACATGTTGCAAAACTTCTGTGCAAGCAACCATATTATATTCAAAAAGTGTCAGAAATTTTGAAGAGTTTATAGCCCTTAAACAAAGTCCCCTCCCCTTCCCGCTATGCTATCATTACTATTTGTAGTAATATATCTTGCCCGACCAGCTAAAAATATATGTATGTGTATATTTGACAGTGTAAGTATAAGTAACAAAATACATGATGACTAAGAGCTATGTATGGGGTAGAAATTGTTTTGTATTTTAAATACCTGTATTCATTGAAGTTTCGTCACTCTGCTCTACTTACCTTTGGGTTACATGTTCTATAAATATTCCTATACACATGTTATTGGTTACGGAAATCAATAATTTCGCAATTCTCATCGGAAGGATCCGTGTTTCAAACATCATCTGCGTGCTCATTTTTAGGTTGTATATTTACTTGAAATTTCATGGAGTAATTTTCAATGTCGGTGAGTGATATACCCCATAATTCATTTAGCGGAATGCAGAAAAGCGATCCATCGTCGTCGTCGCCTCCGGCCTATTCAGGACCGGATACCCGAGATGATATTCCTGGATATTCGGGTTTTACCTACTCTGGAGGATCTGGTATTGTTACAGCAGATCAAGTACAGGAACTATGCAAGTATCATTTCAAAGTGTTAACCATTGAATTTTCCCTCAGAATAGTTTCTGTTTCCATACAATCATGTAATTTAAACCTATACTCGCCAATTAGGGTCAATGAACAGTGAGGGTTCTTTATCGTGTCAACGCCTAAAGCGAAAAGGGGCCTCGGTTTTTAAGGCTCCCTCCGAAAGGCCAGTGGCGCTCACTTCTAGTGTCAGGCGCTCGGCAAAGGAACAGTCACTACCTATGTTTGCATCTTAGGTTTGACGCCGCGTGGCGAACGAAAATTGAACCCGGACCCCGATCAAAAAGCAATCGCCCTACTACTGGGCTACCGTGACTGGTCTGTTCAAATTGAAGAGATTTATATGCGACCCCTTTTTAATTTAGGCAAGACATATATCTGTCATTGTTGCAATTTTCACTGTACGCATGTAAAACTGTCCTTATTTTAAATTATACGACGTTACAAAGACTCAACTATCTTGCCAGGTATAGGACATGGTATGAGTTTTATTTTTATAAATTCATTGCCACGAAATGTATTCCAGTTAATAGAAAAAAAATCTCATATTATGTCCTTTGCCAGTCACCGTATTTTACAGCACCTACAAGTTTGTAAAAAATGTTTTAGAAAAAAAACATAAACATAGCTTAACCCCCCTCCCCAAAATAATAACCCTATATTTGTTAACAGGTCCTCCTCCAGCATATGACTCCATCTTTACACGAACGAACACGAATCCTCCGAGATTAACAAATCATCGCAGGTCAAGCAAAACCAATCCATACCTCCAAGATGACAGAAATCTATGGGAAAAACTTCATGAATGCTTTGAAATGTCCAGTAAGTAAAAATAACATTTACATGTGCATAGTAATTTTTATTCAATATGATTGAATAACTCCTGGCTCTCTGATTGGTTGAGATCCAACACTGTAGTAAACATACCAAGTTATGTTCACCTGCATTGAGACTTTCCAGGTGAGCATAGCATTTATTTTTTGCTAAATTGTACTAAATGATCGAGAACTTCCAAATTGATACAATTAGTTATGAAAAGTGTTCACCTGCTTTCGACCTTCCAGATGAACATTAATTTTTTTCTGCAATGGACCAAAAATAGATCAAGAACGTTTAAATTGTTACAATTGGTAATGAAAAGTAATTTCAGCTGCACTTGACTTGCAGGTAAACATAACATTTTTTTCTACATCTCACAAAAAAAAGATCAAGAAATTCCAAATTAATAAACTGGTTATGTTTCTTTTTTTTCTAATTCCACTTCGGCTAAGACTTCAACAGTATAAACAACCAAGAAAAGATGGCAAGGTTTGCTTAAGAGTTCGTTTTTTTAATCATTTAATCATATGATTAAAAAATGTTTTTCAGTCAATACCATGATATATCAACCCTCGAAGTAAATTATTCACCCCGCCTTCGGGCTTGTTAAATATTATATTCTTCAGGATGTCAAATCATCGTATCGACCCCAAGTAGAAAAGTAATTGTATCCAATTTCCTTTTACTTATACCTGTTTTAAAAGATCAACACAAGTTTTATCATTTGAGGTAAACATTATGTATGTAATCATTACCATATGATAAATATGCTTGAAAACGTTTGGGGGAAAAACAATGAAATTATGTTAAAATACAATATACCCCAATCAATTTTTAATACAGTCAACAGAAAATTTTATTTCTTATAGTTAATTCGTTATCGTTTGTTAACAAGTCTACTTGTTCGTATTTTCTTATTTCAGGAGTACTTTTTAGCTCACCTGAGCTGAAAGCTCAAGTGAGCTTTTCTGATCACCTGTTGTCCGGCGTCCGTCCGTCTGTCTGTCTGTCCGTCCGTCTGTAAACTTTTCACATTTTCAACTTCTTCTGAAGAACCACTGAGCCAATTTTAACCAAAGTTAGTACAGGACATCCTTGGGTAAAGGGGAGTTTAAATTGTTAAAATGAAGGGCCAACCCCCCCTTACAAGGGGAGATAATCAAAAAAAGACAAAAATTGGGTGGGGTCATTAAAAAATCTTCTTCTCAAGAACCACAGGGCCAGAAAAGCTGAAACTTATGTGGAAGCATCTTTGGGTAGTGTAAATTCTAAATTGTTCAAATCATAGCCCCCGGGGGTAGGGCGGGGCCACAATAGGAAATTAAAAGTTTTACATTGAAATATATAGGCAAAATCTTTGAAAATCTTCTTCTCAAGAACCACTGGGCCAGAAAAGCTGAAACTTATGTGGAAGCATCTTTGGGTAGTGTAGATTTTAAATTGTTCAAATCATGGCCCACGGGGGTAGGGCGGGGCCGCAATAAATATTACAAAGGGGAGGTCTTGTGAAGAACAGCAGAGCCAAAGTAACTCAGGTGAGCGTTCTGGCCCATGGGCCTCTTGTTTATTTTTATTATAAAAATTTATTTGCAATTTTAGTATTTTCGTATTTCAGGAGTACTTTTTTTTAATTGTAAAAATTTATTTGCAAATTTAGTTTTGACATCTTTACCATTTCACTTATTTTCCTCACTAGATATTTATTATAAATTCTTTGGAATTAGGGCTAAGGGGATTTTTTCTGCAATTCAAAGTAAGAAATTGTAGTATTAACTTAAAAGAGCAATTACGAACATTCGAACTCCTGTTCCTAAATATATGGGAGTCGAAAATGCTTCAAAAATTCTATATTCACTGAATTCTATCCATTATTAAGTAGAAACAATATAAGATAATCAGTGCTAATTTCCATTAATAGTAGGAGAAATGTAAAATGTATATGAGATGATAAAAATGCTTCAAACCATTTTTATACAATTTGATATTTTACTTATGTTTTCTATTGATACGCCGGTTCACAGCAGGTGAATTTTGCCAAGGTTGTTTAAATCACCAATAACAAATCAAAGAGCTAAAAAAAATTGATTTATTGATTTTTAAGAATTACAGAAAATGATCACATTCACAAGCTCTGAAAGAAATTTTTAAATGTTGTTTATTTTAGTTCTACAAAAGATGATAAGAACGGTATTTCGGACTTTTTCTTACATCATATCTTTAATGTTTTACTGCATACAAAGTAATTTAAGATGCTGGAAACAATTTCTGATCTATGAAATCAATGAAATGTTTAAACATCATTTATTTCAGTTTTACAACAGATTATATGGCTGGCAGCTCTGGCTTTTTCTATATCATATATCTTTTTCGGTAAGTCAAATCTACCTGCAACTGAAAGTAAATATCCAGTGATCATAAATGTATATGTATAATGTCCACGACTTTATGAGTATTGGAATTATAAGTACAAGTACCTTGTATATTACTTGCGACCATCTAAGCATTCTTTTGAAAATTAATTTCATTTTATTTGTACGTATGTCGATGTGATGTCGTATATAAAACAAATAACTCCACTATATTTTATAGTATATAATTTATGCAAAAGAAACGTTGAATATATTGAGAGTATGGCAACAATTTTTAATCAATCTTTGTGTCGTACCACAGATTGGGAACATCATTTTGTAGGTTCAAAATACTTTTGAGAAAAAAAGTTTCAAAGAATTGGAATTTAATTTAACAACAACAAATCTTCTGAGGATAATGGAATTTTCTTTGCAAATTTGTACATTATTCCTACTACATGATTGAGGAAAAAAACTTCCTAAATTTCTTATAACTTTTTTTTTTAAATAAATCTTCAAAGTAATAAATACAATGTATAATTTTGGAGAATTTCTTTCAAAATTTAAAAATATATATTTTTAAAGTAAATGGTGATCGAAATAGTAACTTTTCGTAAATTCCGATCTTAATATGAATCGAAATTTCAATGACTGGTATATCATATTGTTTTACTAGGACTGAAGCATAAAGGAGACTGTTATTGGAAAAAGTTCAACGACAAAGGAAAAAGTCAAGAGGGCGAAGATCTCACCGTTTTCATACAAGCTGAGGGTGGACTTATGTGTGCAACTATCCTATACGCCTTTTTATGTCGATTTTTTGCCCTGTTGGACAGTCGTCGTACCCATCGTCAATCTAGGGATGATGTTGAGGGAAAGAAAAAATGTGGGGGTCATTTGTTTTTTCTTGGCCTGGCATTGTATATCGCTAATTTCGGTTTGATTATTGCAGGTAAATTATTTTTTATTATTATCATTATAATAATAATAATAATAATAATTATTATTATTATTATTATTATGCAGAATTTGCAAATAAAGCAAACAATCCAAGTAAACACGCAAATAAATAAACGTTTCTTTTTACTGCATAAAGTGACCATCCTTCTTTTTTGTAATATATTTACCTGCTAGTTTTCTCAAAACACACAAATAATAATTTTAAAAACCCAACTTTTTTGTATGGATTTAATCCATTTCAATTTTTTTTTTGTTTGCAGGAGCAGTAAAAGTTTTCAATCTTTACGACAGTAAAGAAATATCGAAAAATGAAACGTACACAGTCAAGTGCGACACAGACTTCTACAGCTTTTATTACAATGCCAAAATAGGAGAACTGGCTGTGTTAATGCCGTACGCTCTTTACGTCTTGATTGCCTTGATTTTTGTGCCAGAAAATCAAAGTAAGCTGTTTTCCCCTCTAATGCTATACAGTCAAACCTCGTTATCTCGAATTCTCGAACATCTCCAATTTTTTTCTATATCCAATCGAGTTCGAGATAATAAGGTTGACTGTATTTATTTCCCTGAAGCAATATTTTACGCAATGAATTTTGTGATAAGCTTTTTATCTAATAGGAATATCCATTCAGTTTAAATTAATCTGCTCCGTAAGAATTTGAAAGGTTCCGGTATAATTATATAAATAATGCCCTAAATCTCCATGACTGTGATTTATTTTGGATAAAAACAATTTCATTTTCTTTTTCAATTCACTTAATGCTAGAGTTTCAATCTTGTTTCGGAAAAAAGTATATACTGGATGTGTTTAGACAAATCTTCTTAAAACGCTAACATGAATTTTGTCTACATATGAATCATAGCATATTTATATTTCTAACACAACTTTTAGAAGACAGAAGCAAGGCACATTTATATTTTCGATATTTCATTAAACAGAGAAATGGTTCCTACGACGGAAACGGCGTCAATGGGTCAGACTTCTTGACGCAGACCAAGATGGCGTTATCAGTCCTGATGACATGGAAAGGACTAACGCCAAGCTGGAACAGATTCGTAGACTTGTTGGTGCTAGAAATACTCCTTTGTCTGCTGAAGAACAAAAGAAATGGTGGAACGACCACATTTTCAAGAGCGGTCCCGGAAAAAACATATCAATGAATGACTACATCAGTTGTCTGGAAGCAAATTGTCCTGCAAAGGCAATCGTTACGGGATTCTTCAACTTCTTCTCCACGGAGGTTTATCGAAAGAAAAACCTTATCATCAGTGAGGAGGACTTCGTCAAGTTTTGGGCCATTCTTGCTGGTGTCGACGAACGTCATTGCAGAGAAGTGTTTGTTAAGCATATACCTTCACCACTAACGATGGCCTTTTTCTTGGAGGATTTTGAAGCTTTTCTTTCGCATAATGAATTTTGGAATGAATACGGCTATAGAGTATTTAACATTCTGAAATATAAAGACTCGTGTAGATGCTGCAGAGTGTAAAAATTCTTATAGATTTTATCCTATACGAAATTATTATAGATTTTGTCCTATACAAAAAGTACATGTGATTTTTTTAAAATTCATTTATGTCAAATATATGTATATCGAAACCGAATAAGGAGTCTTCAGTTACAGGTATTGACAGGTCTTAGAATAATCCATCACAAGAAATACTAACACACGTTGCATATGGGATACGATCTGCAAAATACAATGCTTCAATAAGGACTACCATTTCTTTTAAAGCGAGAAATGTCATCAGTATATATGTGTGTTTGAGTTTTTTTCCGGATAGAGATAAGGTTTGTTTTTTTCTGCTTTCTGTATTATTGCTTTTCACATTGGATAAATATAATGATCGTGCATTTTCAAATAAAGCTTCAAGACACCCACACTGCAATGGAGACAGTCGATTCGAGCAATATGACTGATACATTATATTAACGTCAGTCTTGTTAACTGCACCTAAACTGAGAACACATAGATAAAATTGAAACTAATACGTATACAATTAAGAAATAAATAACAAGTTTAAAAACTTCAATGGGAATTGAAGTGGGTCGGTCACGTGATCAAATCCTGTGAAGGCCGAAGGCCTTCTCAGAAGATTTGATCACGTACCGACCCACTTCAATTCCCATTGAAGTTTTTAAACTTGTTATTTATTACTTATATATACATTTGAGATGGACAATTGAATGTAATCGAATATAAATATTGCACTAACCGCACGTCGTAGATTTCGACAAATTACGCTAGGTGTAAATCGACTTGAAAAACGGTTACGCTTCAAATTCATCTGGCAAAGGATTCTGTTTTGAAGGGAATATTCTGTGAAAGGCTACTTGCGATCAATTATAGTGAGCATATTGGTGTCTGGGAATTTTTGTATTCATGAGAACCCATATTCGATGTTAAAAAACACAAGAAACACGTCCGATGTTTGATAATAAAAAGTTGGAGGAATTTCGGTAGGAAAGGGATGGATGGAGACACTTGTCCGGACCAGATAACTTGAAATCAAGTACAAAATTTGATCAAAACCATAAAATCTACGATTTCAGTAAGGCATATTTATATTAATTTATGATGTTGACATGGAGACACTGGCGACAGCTTACATTGTTAAGACAACGTCACAACGATCTCGATGATGGAGGTGTGCCTACCGAACTTCCAAAGTGCAGTGTTTGTCAGCTGTTTGTGGCGTGATTGCATTACATTGATATTTTTCAACAGATTTTCAAATTTATTGTGAGTAAAGTTTAACGAAAAAAAATTATAGCATTCAGAGGTCTGCGAGAAAAATAAGGGTAAACGTTGAGACTATGCAGCTCAGACATGGAACTTATAACATGTAGTTTTCTATTCTCTATGTAAAACCGATCAAAAACTGTATTAAATACTCGTTTACATTGTAAATAAAATGATTATTATAATTTACTAGAGTATTTTGTACATTTTTATGTATGAAAAACATGCTATATTGCTTAGTGGAGTAAGTCTTTTTATGTAGATATTACTGCGCTGTGTGATTGGGTCACGTAATGACCTATGACCTTCGAAAAACTTCATACAGTTATGAAGATATTTGCTCTCTGCATGTTTATATAATAGAGAGATACCACAAATGTATATATATTGATTTGTTTAAAAGTGCATGAGTATCGTTTTCACAACTAGACTTAGAACAAATATTATATTTTATTACAGCACCTGTTTTTAAAAAAAAAAACCACCTGAGTGAAATGTATGTGCATACAGGTCACATTCAGTATAACAGAACAAATATTGCATGTAGTTGAGGGTAACATTGGAAATTTTCACTCCAAGAAAACCATTGTCAACCTCAACTGCTCATTGTTTGACAATTATTTTCTTGGGTTTTTTTTTTAGCTGTTACGGTAGCTCAGTCAGTAGAGCGCTCGCTCCGTGCTCAGAAGGTTTTGTGTTCCAATCACAGCCACAAGTAACTTAAGTCGATAAAAGATAGGTTACCGTAGCAACTGTTCCTTCTCCAAGCGCTCGGCACTTTGGAGTGAAACGCGGCTAGGATAAGGCAGTCCATTAAATATTACAGTGTACCAGCTGTTGTTACCTCTCTGAACTACTAAGATATGATGTCATAATAGAATATGACATCAAGTCACTGCAAACTTGAGCAGTCATGACGGGGAAAGTGTCATAACTTTTACATTCCTTCCCATGGCATGTAGATTTTATTTCGACATTGATGTTTAAATCAGGTGTCTGAATTGTTGAGTTTCTATGTGCTGTTATGATGGTGATTATTTGCAATACAATATCTTTATTCCTTTCTCTTTCTGATAATGTAGGTATTCAAACAATAACAAAACATGAAAATGAAACGCTCCCCCTAACACGTCCATAGACAGAGTAAGAATTTATAAATCATGCATATTTTAGACTGGCACAAGTGATTAATAAATATAAACTGGAGATGTTCTATGTGAATCTACTAGAGAAGTGTGTCTTCTAACTGAATTTTGCTGGGGATCGTACATGTATGTAATATATCCTATTTTGTATAAATTGCGATGAAGAGTGGAAAATGCCCCCTTGTATGTGGGTAAGTTGAATTTCTTGTGAAATATTTTCTTAAGAAGTAAAACTCAGACTTTCCCCCAGCACTTTATATATATACCCAAGAATAGGTTTAATTGACTTATGTAACAAACTGTCCTCAATAATTTTGTTTTTCACTTATGCCTATGGGATTTTTGAGCAACAATTAAGTGTCCGTCACGTGATCAACACAGTCATGTGACATCACAAATTTGCTTTCTCACAATACCTTATTTAACTCTCTTCACAAATTTACTGCACATGTCTACATAGATTACAAATTGAAATCTAGCTCAAAATATAATAGTGTATTTCTAATGCATATTAAGCCTTCGGACAGCCTTAACATAGCCGCGAAGTTGCAGGTCCTTCGGATGAGAAATTTGAAGCCCTTCACCTGTATGTGGTGACCTCTCTATATGAGTAAAAATTCTCGAACAGGACATAAAACAACATACAATCAATCAATCAAGCTTTGGATTTTTATTGCTACCCTCAACTACATACAATATTTACCAATATATATAAAGCACTAAAAACCAACAACACTGTATATCCTAAGTGTCGGATCTACTAAGTAGATACAAGGTCACGGATGGAAATTTATATAAAGCACTAAAAATGACCAACGACACGAACAATAATAATTGTCAAATTTTCGGGACGACCTGTCCCTTCCTCAGGACAAAGAAAAAAGTTAAGAAGTCATAAAAACAAAGGAAATAGAGAAGCAAAAACAACTAGCACTACTACTAAACTACCAAACACTAAATATTTACAATGTTACATGTTTAATTTGGAGTTTATAAACACTTGTGAACAAAGAAATCCGGAGCGCTATGAATTGCGTCCGGTCTATCGGGTGTACTCTGGTGAAGTGTGATTTACATAATTGAACGAATTAATTATCGCTAATTAATTACGACCAACAGTAAATCGTACATTGTCTTTTTTCTCAAAATAGCATAACTCTACATGATAAAAAGAAATTAAAGAAAGATAATATGGAAGGACAATTTTGAAATATGAATTTGGATATATTATAAATTTGGAAATCGGAAAAAAAATAAACAAAAATGTAAGCTGTAAATATTTAGGTAGGTTGTTGCAGGATTGCTAATACGAATTAACGGAGATTAAAGGAGAGGGGGGTATACTGTTTTACCCTTGTGTGTCTGTCTGTATGTGTGTCTGTCTTTCTGTCCGTAACAAATTTTTCATCGCAGTTTTCTCAGCAACTACTCATCGCATATGCTTGAAATTTTAACACACTCTTTGTTTAGGCATGCCATATGGTGGGATTCATTTTTGTATGAATCCGTGGTCAACTTTCTGTTTATCTGTGCATCTGTACGTACCATACATAACAAATTTTGGTCGCAGTTTTCTCAGCAACTACTCATCACAGTTGCTTGAAATTTTGACACACTCTTTGTTTAGGCATGCCATATGGTGGGATTCATTTTTGTACGAATCCGTGGTCAACTTCCTGTTAATCCGTGTTCCAGATACCGAAGTTCAACTGTATATTTTGTCATATTCACTTTTTCAAATTCCATAACATCCTTCCATTTCAAAAGGTATGACATCATTAAAAAAATCAATATAGGGAACCCTATGATATATAATACTTACTTGGAAATGAGACGTGCACCAAAAACTTTAACCTGCTCCAAAAGCATTAACCTTGTCATTCTTCAGCTGAAAAACCTTGACAAGTACAATGAAACATACTAAATGAAACATACTAGAAGTATCGTCCATGTATATCTGATTAATTTAGGGCATAGGGGCACTTGAAAAGAAATCTGCTCCAAAAAATTTAACCTGGGACGCTGACACTGAGAGTTTTTGTTTGTTGTTTAACATCCCTCTCGAGGATATTTCACTCATATGGAGATGCCACTAATTGCCGGTGGAGAGCTGTTTTTGACCTATACTCAACACTCATGATCAGAGCCATTAAGCAGTGGGGGATCTTTTTCGTGCCAGCATGGTCTACTCGTCTGTTGTAAAATCAACATTTTCAATTTTGTTTTAATTTTAAAATTCATTCGTACATTTTATGTTGCACATATACCTTATTATGCACTCTGTGTGGGAAAATGGATGACACTGCATGTGCACTACATTATGATATAGAACAAGTTTAGAGATTGTTAACTTGAATTTCGTCTCAAATTTAACACATATTTTGACCTGACTCAAGATCTGTGATAAAGACTTGTATATGATATTATATTGAAAAGTCTATAGTATGAATTGCAATACCAGAAATTATATTTTAAATGAAGAAGAAAATAAAGGAGATAACAAATTTCTAATAAATAATGAATTTCTGAAGACCCATAGATTTTGGAAAAAAGGCCCATGGGACACAATGCTCACCTGAGTCAATATTGCCCTGTTCTTCTTCATCAAAGCAGATTTTTTCCTAGATATTCTTTTGTAAAACTTTGATCTCCATTGTGTCCCCACCAAACCCCCTGGGGTGGGTTATGATTTAAACAACTTGAATCTACACTATCCGAGGATGCTTCCATATCAATATGACTAATCATGGCTTTGCTTTTCTTGAAAAGATTTTTCCCCATATATTCCTTTGTAAAACATTGATCCCCCCTTGTGGCCCTACTCTACCCCCTATATATTTTTTCCTATACAGTGTATATTTCTTTGTAAATCATTGATCCACCCTTGTGGCCCACTGAAATCTACACTACCTGAGGATGCTTCCACATCAGTACGACTAATCATGGCATTGCTGTTCTTGAGAAAAAGATTTTTAAAGATTTTTGCCTATATCGTACAATGTAAAACTTTGATCCCCCATTGGGGTTCCACCCTACCCCCCCCCCCCCTTCCGGGTCATGATTTAAACAAACTTGAATCTACACTACCTGAGGATGCTCCCACTCAGTATGACTAATCATGGCATTGCTCTTCTTGAGAAGAAGATTTTAAAGATATTTGCCTATATCGTACATTGTAAAACTTTGATCCCCCATTGTGGAACCAACCTACCCCCCAGGGTCATGATTTGAACAAATCTGAATCTATACTATGTACCTGAGGATGCTTCCATATCAATGTGACTATTTCCCTATATATTCCTAAGTAAAACTTTTGATCCCCATGTGTGGCCCCATCCTAACCTCGGGGGTCATGATTTGAACAAATTTAAATCTACACTATGTAATGAAGCACTCACAAAAGTTCCAGCTTTTTTTGCCCAATGGTTCTTGAGAAGAAGGTTTTTATGCTACCAAATTTATACTAATTCTTAATTATCTTCCCTTGAAAGGGAGCATGGCCCTTCATTTGAACAAACTTGAATCTCCTTCATCCAAGGTTCCTTTGTGCAAGTTTAGTTGAAATTGGCCCCGATGGCTCTTCATCAGAAGTTCAAAATGTGAAAAATTTACAATTGGACAGCTAGACAGACAGACAGCTAAGATAGACTGACAACAGACAAAATGTGATCAGAAAAGATCACTTGAACTTTCAGCTCAGGTGAGCTAAAAATGAACACTAAATGGCTCTTCCATCTTGATGCAGGCCCTAGCTGATTGTAGGATTAACTTTTGGGACATCATAAGTAATGTTTTACATGTATGTATTATTAAACAAAAAACTTCTCCTCTGCTTTCAAGGGCTTGGAACCTTCTGCTTGAAAAAACACAGATCCTATAAATGCTGGGAAGCAATGTTTTTTTTTGTTTTTGTTTTTTTCAAGCAGGCAGCATTAAAAGTTTTGTGCTTTTTTTCCTTTCTTTTTTAGTGCTTTTCTTTTTTGGTTTCTTCTTGTTTTTTTTCTTTCTTTTTTTCCTTTTGTTTTTTCTTTTTCCTTTCATGTTTTTTTTTTCTTTTTGTTTCTTTTGTTGTTGTTGTTGTTGTTTTTTTTTTTGTTTTTTTTTTTTTGGTTTCTCTTTTTTTGTGCAAAACTTTGGCCAATGAGATCAGACAATTTAACATTACACTAGTCACAATTCATTGTTCACTGTCACAATTTAGCATTTACTTCTAACATTTACATGTACTATCACTGCATAACTATTCAAATTTATCATTCACTGTCACAATTTAACATTTACTACTTATACACTTTAACATTTACACGTACTATCAATGCATAACTAGTCACAATTCATTGTTCGATGTACAATTTAACATTTACTATTACAATTAACATTCACATGTACTCTCTCTGCAGAATTAGTCCCATCAATACATGCTGATATACATTCAATAACACAATAAATCCTTAGTCACCATTAACCACCTTATTAAAATAGCTTAAGTAAATTTGTACACACTACGGTAATCACAATTTAACATTTACTATCACTTTATATCCACAGTCACATCAATAATACATTGCATATATATTCATTTGAACAATAAATTCATTAAGTCAATCACTGTCAACTATACATACTAACTATACATAAGCTAAATAAATCGGTACTTAACATTTACAATATATCCAGTCACCTTAGTAATGCACATTGTATATATATTCAATTACACAATAAATTCATAGTCACTATATCCACCCTAACTTTTTAATAAGTAGTTGTACATTCCAGGAATAATAATATGATATATAAAAATCACTTCTTCTGTAACATTTACACATAATTTTTTTGATGTTGAATAAGATAAAAAGAAAGATTTTTGAAAGACAAAGGAGCCTACAACTAGTTGCGTTTTCAACCCCTCCTCCCCAGGCCAGCCTGGCAACCGTAGCGGCAAAGGACCCAAGAAGTTCCAACCAGTAATGCCCCAGGGTATCGACAAGGTCTACTTACAACTAGCCTTCAACTACTTCATCTAAACAATTTTATAATGTATTAGACGATAACATGAAATAACATTATAGCAAAATAATGATAGATGATAAAAGATATCTACATAAAATAATAAAAATAGCACAATTATCTCTTTGACATAGAGAAAAAGAAGGGGGTCAGTGTGGGAGGAAACCGGGGCACCCGGAGAAAACCCACGTGTCAGAGTGGGTGACCCCATACCCTCTTACAACTCAGACACCCATTTCCAAAACAAATGTCTCAAACAAATATGTTCTGGATAATAACAAATTATAACATTGTAAACTGAATGTGCTTGTGTGTGCTTCACAGATCTGGCTTTCTGCATTGTCATCTTTCTTTTTCCAAACATGATCACAAGGATATGCCTCTTCAATACTTTTACTTTCTGTCAATGAATAAGAAAAAAAGGTAACCATTAGGACTGATGAAGTAGAAAGGAAGAACAGAGTCCTACAGAATGGCATACTTGGGTACTTATTCTCATACCTGAGGCTCCTTGTCATTCATAATGTCAAGCACATCCACATGATTTTATCTGAGTCTCTTACTGGGTACTGTCACTAAATCATCAAAGCACACTGTAAAATAGATGTTAATTAATATACTTCAGCATCTTTGGAGAGGACTTGTATAGGCAGTGCCTGCTGTCCAATCCAGTTATGTTTAATCATAATAAAATATTGTTTAAATTAAATTACTTCAGCATCTAAATAAGTATAAACAGAAATTAAGAAAAGAACAGACATATCTTAGCAAAATATTATATAGCTCTAACATAATGTTCTTCTGCTGTACTTTTTTCAAAAAAGATCCTGGATTATTAATAATGTCCCATACCTGATCAGTGACAGTTATCCACTGTGGTAAGTCCTGCTGTTGAGAAGGTCATCATCCATCAGTCTTGACTTTTCTAAGTATTTCCACCAATTCCTGTCTAGCTGTAGCTGCTCATTTTAACATCTTGAAGGGTCAACATCGATCAGTCTTGCATTTTCTAGGTTTTCCACCAATTCCTGTCTGGCTATAGCTGCTCATTTCCACATATTTTCCAGTTGTTTCCACCAATTCCAGTTCGAATGCAATACTTTATTCTGCATCTTGAAGTACATTAATCAGTCTTGCTTCTTCTAGTTTTTTTCTCATTCATTCGTCTGGCTGCGGCCTCTTATTTCCACATCATCCATCAGCATTGCATTTTCCAGTTGCTCCCACCAACTCCTGTAAGGTTGTTAATGTTCTACTCCACATTGTTGAAGAAAACTTTACCAACACCATCCTTCTAAGTCTCCTCTTCAACCTGTCAGATGCAAGTGTCTCGTATTAATCACTTTTCAGGAAAGAAGTGAAAGGAGTAATGGTTACTGACTCCTTTAGTTTCTGTTTTTAAAAAATGAAAAAAGGTAATAATCAGGTCCAATGAAGAAAAAATGAGAAACCAAAGGTCATAGAGAATTGCCTGCTAGGGATAACTTTCACATACCTGAGGGTTCCTTGTCATTCATGTCAAGCACATCCACATGACTTCATCTGAGTCTCCTACCCGTTACTGTCACCAAATCATCAAAGCACACTATCAAATAGGAGTTAATATACATCTATCAGTATATTAAGAAAAAACAAACATATCTAAATAATATAGTTCAAGGATCAAATATTCTTTTGCTGTACTTTTCCAAAAATGATCTTTGATCATTAATTATGTCTCATACCTGATCAGTGACAGTTATCTACTTTGATATGTCTTGCTGTTGGGAAGGTCAGAGTCCCTCAGTCTCTTCTTTTCCAGTTGTTTCCGCCAATTCCTGTCTGGCTGTAGTTACTCTTTTCTACATCCTGGAGGGTCACTGTCCATCAGTCTTGTCTTTTCCACTTGTTTCCACAAATTCCTGTCTGGCTGTAGCTGTTCATTTCCACATCTTGGAGAGTCAACATCTTTAAGTCACATATTTTCCATTTGATTCCACCAATTCCTGTCTGGCTGTAGCTGCTGATTTCCAAATTCTGGAGAGTCAATGTCCACCATTCTTGTCTTTTCACTTGTTTCCACAAATTCCTATCTGGCTGTAGCTGCTCAATCCACATCCTGAAGGGTCAATGTCAATCAGTCTTGTCTTTTCCACTTGTTTCCACCAATTCCTGTCTGGCTGTAGCTGCTCATTTCCACATCCTGGAGGGTCAATGTCCATCAGTCTTATCTTTCCCACTTGTTTCCACCAATTCCTGTCTGGCTGTAGCTGCTCATTTCCACAACCTGGAGGGTCAATGTCAATCAGTCTTGTCTTTTCCACTTGTTTCCACCAATTCCTGTCTGGCTGTAGCTGCTCATTTCCACATCCTGGAGGGTCAATGTCCATCAGTCTTATCTTTCCCACTTGTTTCCACCAATTCCTGTCTGGCTGTAGCTGCTCATTTCCACAACCTGGAGGGTCAATGTCCATCAGTCTTGTCTTTTCCACTTGTTTCCACCAATTCCTGTCTGGCTGTAGCTGCTCATTTCCACATCCTGGAGGGTCAATGTCCATCATCTTGTGATAAGAAATAAGACATAAGGATACTTCTACTTTAATAAACTATTAAATAACTGACAGAGTCTGGTTCTTAAAAAATGTATCCATATCTCATTGAAATTTTCACAATTTTTGTAGCTGTACATATATTTTCTAATTTTAACCTAGCTGTCATGTGAAAAACAGATCATATTATCAGGGATGTCACTGGTCAAACTCCGAAGAGAACCCTATATACTTGTACAGATAGCAGAATTTCCATTCAACAAAATTAAACTGATTATTTTTATTTTCAATATTGAATCTTTTTTATGGAATATATGATAATGCATACTTCGTATGAGTGTCCTTAGCCTAGCTGTGGTCTGGGTGGTCAACGTCCATCGATCTTGCCTTCTCCAGTTGTTTCCACCAATTCCCATCTGGCTCACAGTAGCTTCTCATTTCCACATCCTGGAGGGTCAACATCAATCGGTCATGCTTAGCTATGTTAAGGAAATCAATGGAAAATATTATCTTAACATGTTTTTAATATGTATTACCTTTAATAATCATTGTAAAAATGTTAACTATAAAATTGTAGGAAAGGTAATATAGTCACCAGTAATGAATAGGTTCATGTCGTACTTAGTACAATTTACACTGTATATATCAGCTGTGTGTCGCATGACTGGTGTAAAAATAGAATTATTAGGCTGAATGTAGAAAGTGACGCTAGTGCATGGGCATCCGGTTGTTTTTTGCAATAAAAATTGATATACATTAAAATTTACATTCCTTGCCTGAGAAGTGCTGGGAGCTAGTTTGTGCTGTTTGGAAAGTCCTCGCAATTTTGCCAAGAATGTGTGAAATAGCAAAAAATTTGCACTTCGCCATCACATCATAAAGAATTTAAAAAATATTCCTCAAACCACAATCAACTCCCAGCACTTTTTAGATTTACATGATATAAGCAATTAATATTCCGTATTTCAGCTTAAACAGTCTTAAACAGTCTAGTGTATGCCCTTCCCCTTCTAAGGTTTATTGCATGGGAATATGATTATAGGATTTGTGATTTTCTTTACATTATCTGACGCTGTGCTGCTAGATAAGATCCTGATAAATTATTTACACAGATGTTCTTAAGAAAAGTTTTGTTTTCAGTTTTATTGATTAGATGGAAAATTTAATGATGATTTTGTATTTAATTAATTATTTTTGTAATTATTAAACAAAGGGATCCATGCACTCCTCTGGATCACTTGTACTGTGTCAAGTCAAGACAAATAATGCCGTATAGGACACAAGATTTGTTTCTAGCAGTATTGTTATCAATTGGTGAGATTTCTGATTTTTAAATCGATTATGGATAAAACAAATGCATGCAACCTTTTATTTACATATCATCTTGTGGTTTAATTTATTTTTGCTACTTTTTTAATTTTCAATGATGTTACAATGATACTTAGTATGCCGTGCCTCACAAATGTGGTCTCACATTAAGCAATGTTGTCCAAAAGCAATAGAAATAGGATGATCAGGGATCAGCAAAATTCAGTAAAAAATCTTAAAGTAGATCTATTTATTTGCCTGTACATGTACTTTGTGCTCCTGTACTTGCCCCCAAGTCACTTTCACCATTTTGACTAAAGAAAAAAGTAGTTCTTAAGCACTATTTGAAAACCAATCTCATCCTCTACCTGATCATTAAAAATGATGAAAGTACTTTTTGGATTATTTATCATAAAAATTCTTTTATAATTATCTTATTCAATTGATCTTTCAATGACATCATCTACAGTGATAACTTATCATAGGTGAATAATGAGGGGATTTCTCTCGATGGAATACAAATTAATTTACCTGCCCAGCACGTGAGCACTAGACTGAGTGGTCCAGATTTCAAAAATCTGGTAAAAATACCCTTTCTTATTTCAACTTTGTATTCCTAGATGCCCAGGAGCAATGAAAAAGATTTTCAAACAATAATACATTACCATACCTCCACCCATCACCAGAACCCCTTGCAATTCACAATTTTGCAAGAGGCACACGTACTTTCTTGTCATTACGATGCACTAGGTTTGTTTGCTTAATAAACAGGAGAAGAAAATTTTTCAAAGAAATAATGTATTTCCACTATACATGTATAATAAATAGAGCCCTGTCTTAACACCAGAGGCCCTAGACCCAGGGGCCAAGAAATTCACAATTTTGGATGAGGCACCCCTACTTATCATAATCACACACTATTATGCACTATGCCTGCTAAATACCCAGAGGCAGGGAAGATTTTTAAAGAATTAACACAATTTCACTATGTATTTAACAGGGCCCTGACCTAACACCAAAACCCCTGACCCAGGGACTATGAGTTTTAAAAATCTGGAAGATTCCCCCTTGCTTATAAAAAATATGCACCTAGTTTATATGCTAAATATACAAGGAGACAGAAGAAGATTTTTAAAGAATCCATGAATTGCCGTTTTTACTATATGATCATTAGAGTCCTCCAAAACTCCTGACCTTGTGGCCATGAATTTCACAATTATGGTAGAGGGATCAGTATTAAAATATTACAATCATTTATTGCCAACAGTTTGACTGCTTGATGTCTGGGGGTGTTCAGAAGATTTTTAAAAATAGCACCAATTTTGATGGTTTTAGCCCTACTTTTCATACCCCTGGAAGACAGGGACCATGAAATTCTAAATTTTTGTATCCCTTTACCCATTGATGCCATATGCCAAAATTGGTTGAAATTAGTCCAGTAGTTCAATAAAAGAAACTAAAAATGTTTCCAAGTTTTTTGACTGATGAAAGATGCACTATACAGATGAAGACAGACAAAAAACAGATGTTAACTCAACTGATTTAAAAATGCTTAATTACCTTACTAAGCACTGGTTTATCAAGGTCAGGTCATGACATGCCTATATTGGTAGTCCATCTGGTCAAAGGTAACTTATTGATAAAAGGATACTTGTATAAATACATGTTTTATATTGTTTGCAGTGAGGAATTACTGTAAACCAACTTTTATTCACATTGCAAAAAATAACCAGGAATTTAGCTAACTTCTTTTACTTGCAAATATTTCTGGCAGCAAAATATTTGTTTTATTATTGTGTAATTATGTAAAAAAAAATTCCTCAGGCACAAATTTAGTCATCAAAGAGAGATTTTAATAAACTGATAAATAGAGAATAAATGTAGTTGTGAAAAATACTTGATTTACAGTTATTTCTAGTATAATAGAAATACCTAAGGTTAAATTTACACAGTGTTATATCTGACTGCATAGAGGGCCTCATGACATACTTCTGCTCTGGTTTCCAAAAGTGTAGATCCTTTGAGACAAGGTCTGTTCTTGCTATGTTTTTCCTCTTATCCAGGTGTTTGTCTTCTAGTGGTTCTGTGTGAGGACATAAAACTGAAGAAGATCAGTATATACACAAGCAGAGCATCCCCTCAGGACATCAAATAATGCTAGAATAGAGTTAAGACCATTACAGATCATTACCACTCAGAGCTTACTATGATTACTATGATATTATATTGCCTACAGTTTTCTTTAATCTGGATAATAAGTCCCCTACCGGTGAAACCGGAGGGGACTATAGGTTTCCTCTGAGTCTGTCCGTCCGTCTGTCCGTCCATCTGTCTGTCTGTCTGTCTGTCCCTCTGTCTGTCTGTCAGTCTGTCCCACTTGGTTTTCCGCACTTTTTTCCTAAACGCTTCCAGATATTGAGCTGATTTTTGGTATGTGAGTGTATCTTGATGAGTTACAGATCAAGTTTGAATTTCGTTCCGCTTCATTCATTTTTGACGGAATAACGGCCTTTTCAATTTTTACGGGTTTTCCGCAATTTTCTTCTAAACGCTTGTAGATATTGAGCTGCTTTTTGGTATGTGGCTTTACCTTGATTAGTTATAGATCAAGTTTGCATTTCGTCCCGCTTCATTAATTTTTGACGGAATTATGGCATTTTCAATTCTTAACGGGAACCAGATTACACTTGCCGGTAGGGGACTAGTATTGCTAATGCAATACTCTCAGAATGCTTGTTTATATAGTTACTTAACATTAATTCACATAGATTACTGTAAATCACTTTTTCTTTGTGAGAACCTCATCTTAATGTATATTATGCAACACCTTCTTATCACAAAAAAAATATTCTCACAAGTTTTTGTCTATAATTGAAAATTTTATAGAGCAATGACTGATTACAGAAATTCATGAAAATTTCACTTCAATTATAAATCGTATCTTGCGAAAATAAGGTTTCCCAAAAAATAAGTTATTGTAACAATTCTCAAATTTGTGTGTTGATAAAATGTATGTTTATTTATTTATTATCTCATATTTAATACAACCTGAAGCTTCATTCATCATCACGATATTTTTAAATTGTATTTTATTTGTTGTATGTCATTGCTTTACCTTATAATTCATTCCTGGACCATGTTTATCATATGTTTTGTACTTCCATTTTTCTCATGTTTCCAGTTATGGAAATTTATACAAAACTTTTACATAGAATTAGTTGACCAAATGGGTTGCACAATGTCACGTTTGGTTACTCGGCTATGTTAAGGAAGGAAATGGAAAATGCGATCTTAGTACATATGTACATTCTTAATACGCATTATTTTTAAAAATCTTTGTAACAAAGTACCTGTAAATATGTAGGAAAGGTAATATAGATATCCATAATGGATAGGTTTGTGGCTTACTCAGTACAGTTACATTGCATGTATCACCTGTGTGTCACGTGACTTATATAAAAATAGAATTGTTTAGTTGAATGTAGAAAATGAGGCTAGTGCAAGGGCAAACACATGTGTTTGGAGAAAAAAATTGATATATATATAAAAAAAGATTTACATCGGCTTCCCGAAAAGTGCTGGGAGCTAGTTTGAGCTGTTTTGGAAATACTCGAAATTTTACCGAAAAAAACGTATAAAAGCTCAAAATTTCCACTCTGCTTAAATTCTGTCATGAATAAAAATAATGTTATGCTGAGCAAAATCAGCTCCCAGCACTTTTCAAAATATACATGATATAAGCTATTGATATTCCATATTTCAGCTCAAACAGTCTAGTCTATGCCTTGCACTTTTGAGGTTAATCAGGTATACACTTTTCGTGTTAGAGATATTCTCTACATTTCCTGTCTTTGTGCAGCTCCATAGCACCTAGATAAATTAATAATCTACATTATTGTTTTAAATAGATTATTTCCTTTTGATTTTATTGATTAGATTTAAACATTGGCGATGGTTTATATTTTATTTAAGCATTTTTATAAGTATTAAAGCAATGGATCCACTCCCCTGGATCACTTGTACTGCGTCAAGTCAAAGCTAGTGACGTCATTTATGACACAAGATTTCCTTCTATAACTCGGCAGCATTGTTATCAAATGTCGTGATTTTACATGCTTTTATAAATAAATGATAAAATAAATGAATTCAAGTTGTTATTTACACATTACCA